GTGCTTCTTCCAGGGTAAAGTTACTCCGCAGAGTATCAGACACAATAACAATTAAGTGACGCTAAGTCCAGCGGCCACTGCGTCCGTCCAAAAATGTGGCGGTAGCCATATTATATCAAATTTAAACAACATATGTACAGTTCAGAAGCAAACACAAAAACTTCAATATAAGTACAAAATATAGAAAGAATAACAATATACAATGATAAAATCTCAAATTGGAATCAAATAAAATACCAAAAATGTCAAAAGAAAAAAGTCCGTCATATCATAGCAAAAATATGTAAACATGGAGGGATTTTCCAAAAAACAAAACATTCAAAAAGGATTCTACATCCTCCATGGTCCTTTTGAACATTTTGTTGATACAGATATGGTCGATTTGGTTCTGAGTAATGTGATCTGATGAAATCCATGTAGCTTTGTGTATGCGTCTGTGTGGGAATACTGCGCCGCCGACGACCAGTTTGTTGAAGGCATATAGGTTTACAAATCTCTTACCATTTTTGTTCCTTTCTCCCAGTCCATGTCGTCCCATAACGTCTCCATATCCAGTGTTGTCCATGCCAACCTTGGCATTTAGGTCTCCCGTCAGAATGGTCAAATCCTTTGATGAGCATCTGTCCATGATTGACTGCAGCACTTCGCAGAATGGATCTTTAACGTCGCCACTAATGTCGTTGGCAGGTGCATAGCATTTGACGACGTTCATTTTAATGTCCTGTTTCTTTGTCTTGAAGGATGCTTTGGATCCCTAAGATTCCCATTCTATCAGTGCCTTTTGTGACTTCCTAAGGAACTCGTTTTTCATCACGAGATGTCATATCTTCTGAATGAAGACGTCCCAAATGCCAGAGCAGAGTTCGAATGGTTTGAATTATTTTCTCCGGTCAGAGTATTTTTAGCGGGCTAGTTTTCCACGGGGTGGCTAACCTTACGCCTAACTCTCACCCTTTATCCGGGCTTGAAACCAGCAGTAACCGCGGAGGGGCTCCAGGAGGAGTTAGAAAAACCTATAAGCTACTGATAATTCAATACAAAGCTACAATGACTTCAGATTCCCATTACGACCATCTAATCAATGGTCATATCTCCCCTTTCTGTTGTCAATGGTTTTGTCAGACCCTCATTCACACATCGACTTAATGTTTGCGCTGGTTGGCAATGAGTAATCAGACATCTTGGTAATAATGGAATGATTTTTCATCATAGAGTTGTGAAGATTGTTGGGTTTCATTTTATATCATGAATCCATCATTGTTAGACCACTGTTATAAACCTGAAAGCACTGGAGGGCCGTCAAGTCCTAGTATGGGATTCATCAGCACCGATGTACACCCACGACCCCTGCTTGCAGGTGTCGAATCTAGGACTTTCGGCCTCGTGCATAAACGCTTAACCACTAGACTACTAAGCTGGCAGGCATCCAATGGTGTTAATGTCTAACTCTAATAAATCCAGATATTGGTATGAACTTCAGTAAAGCAGCCAGAGACCAATACTGACATGGAAGATTTAATTGATCACAATATTTAGGTTCTAAATAAAAACCAGTAATGCTGTCTAATCACTATGAATGATCTATTCAGTTCACAAACTCTGTTTGCCTAACTATCCAATGTTTCTTTTTTAGCTTTAATTCTACCTTGGTCACCATCAAAAGGAGATCTGAAACTAAATCGGACCCTCTGTTTATTCTCATGTCTTCGATTGACACTTTGGACTTTTTATTTACGCATATACAATCGATCTGGTTTTGCGTGATACAGTCTTATGAAATGTTTGTTACAGTTTTTATACGCCTGTGGGAAAATATGCTGACATTCATCAGCGCATAAATCTACAAATTTCTTGCCATCTTCATTGTTCTTCTTAGTCTGTGTCCCATCATAACGCTTTCTTCCAGGTTTTCATTCAATAAAATCATGGAGCTTACGTCCCGCATTAGGATGGACAGACTTCTTTCATCATTTATTGATGCGTGGTACTAGTTCACATTCATTGTAACCCTGTTCTTCCTTGGTTTTAAGGTTGTTTCGATGTTTCTGGAGATGCATATCTCCTATCCTATTAAGTCAACTTATTCTCGTAAATCACAAGAAAAATGTTAGACAGAAAATCAATACAAATCAATATCAGATTAAAAGTCTTTAAAAAAAAATAATAATAGATCGCCCAAAAACTTGTTCAGTTCGTATGTCATATCCACAAATTCTCAAAAAAGTCCAGTAAACTTTTTTGAGGATCTGGATTTTATAAACAAACAGATAAGAAGATTTTTACAAATTGTACAAACATGATACTAAAATGATCATACAACAACTTCACCCATAACATTAGGCTTAGCTGTATTACAAAGAAGCTTTGAATTGTGTTCATTTTGAAACTCGTGAAGACTTTTTAAATGATAGTTTTCATTTTTTTTTTGCTAAATTAAATAACAAAATTTTGTCTGTATAGGATGCTAGAGATTGTGCTGAGAGTGTGGTGGGCGAGAGATACCAGACTGACTATGCTCACCACTAACAGTTCCATGATATCCCTATCGTGATTCATAGCAAAACAACATAAATCCATGGTTGAGTTGTTTATTGAAGGAGAACATTGGCATTACATGGGGAGCAGTAAATAGATAAAGATGGCAGCAACGCGAAGAGAACGTTGCGTGTAAGAAGTAGTAGAAATGTTTCTGGTACAGTTAAACAAAAAAAACGAGTACAATAATGTTTATTTTTCACAAATCGTATTTTCTTCGTAGGAGCGTTCCACTACAAGAGTTTAATTGAAATGCGAGCAGATGTAAAGTTTATTGGCAGGATGCATAACATTATATATATATATATATATATATATATATATATATATATATATATATATATATATATATATATATATATATATATATATATATATATATATAGTATTTCAACTCGTTTTTTAACAGGGTTTTTTAAAATAACCAAAAAAGTTTTTAAAATTTTCACAGCGTTTTTTAAAATAACCACAGCGTTTTTTAAAATTTTTTGTAATCCTTAGAATGTCAGAAATAAATAGAAAAAACAACTTGATTTCGAATGAAAAAAGGAAAAGCCTTATAAAAAAGTTATTGAAGATGGATACACAGTGTCAAGGATGCGGCATTTCTTACAGATGTAAACTATTAGGCCGCTACAAATATATATAATAAAAATACAATTCTTAAAAATTGATTTTTGATTGCATTTTTCAATTATATAGTTGATCAAAAAACTGAATGAACTTATCTGAATTCAACGAATCAACAAATGTTTTAGCAAAGAGAACTTCATTTTCTGTTATAGCTGATATTAAACTTATATTGGTTCCACGCGTTGATGGAACTAGGGCACTTGCCGGTTTTCCTCTTGTAGTAGATCTTCCCAAGGTTCTTCTTAAGTACAAATTAAAAGAAGATTCATCTATAAAAACTTTTATAAATGTATCTTCAATGTTCATAAAATTTTGAGCATAAATTTGGCGTTTGTTTTTATTGGATTCCGAATTTATACTGACCGATGTATAAGAAATCTTTTTCAAAGTAATCTGAAGTCTATATATAAATTATCCTTCTTATAGATTCAAGAGAAAGGCCTATAGAAAATTGTTTTCTATATTTTTTCTCGAATTTCTACCATCGTTATTAACGGGTTTAATTCTATTAATTCTTCAACAAAATTGATAATATCACCGCATATCTTCTTATTTGATGGTTTTCCTGTTTTTTTCTTCTCAACACGCGATTCCTTTTTATATATACAACCTTATAATATATATTTGTAGCGTCCTGATAGTTTACATCTGTAAGAAATGCCGCATCCTTGACACTGTATCCATCTTCAATAACTTTTTTTTATAAGGCTTTTCCTTTTTTCATTCGAAATCAAGTTGTTTTTTCTATTTATTTCTGACATTCTAAGGATTACAAAAAATTTTAAAAAACGCTGTGAAAATTTTAAAAAATTTTTGGTTATTTTAAAAAACCCTGTTAAAAGTTTAAAAAACGAGTTGAAATACTATATATATATTACTTGCTTACTTACGCCTGTTACCCACAATGGAGCATAGGCCCCCGACCAGTTTTCTCCAATCAACTCTATCCTGGGCTTCCCTTTCCAATTCTGTCCAATTTTTGTTCATTCTTCTCATATCTTTCTCTATTTCTCGGCATAATGTGTTGTTCCTTGGCCTACCTTCGGACAGTTCATCAATTCGTCGCACTAAATATATCGTAACAGTGCTCACTAGTGACTAGCTTCGTGAGGAAATTCTCGGAGTTCTAGTTGAGAAGACGTGACCAGTATGGAGTTCAACGCTGTCGGGTGTATGCAGTAACTACCAAAGACAAATGAGTGAGGTCGCGCAAAATCCCTAGATCAATCAGAGTTAGACACTAACACCGTTGGATGCCGGCCCAGTGGTCCGATGGTAAGGCGTTCGCCTACAAGGCCAAAGGTCACGGGTTCGAATCCTGCGAGGAGCAGGAGTCGTGGATGCGCACTGCTGATGAGTCCCATACTAGGACGAAACGGCTGTCCAGTGCTTCCAGGTTTCTAATGGTAGTCTAACAATCATGATTGATTAATGATTTCAAATGTGTAAAAACGCAAACCTCCAAAACTGTGCCCCAATATATTGTCGCACTAAATTGAATCCAATCGAAATTTATCGATATATTTGTGTCCTAATCAAATTGTTACCATAATTTATCAAGGATTCATAATAAATTCATTATGCAAAATTAACCGGAAACACATTAACTAGACTTTTGTAAAAACTACATATAATATAACATGTAACATTTTATACACAGTACATCAAACCTCATTTAAACAATAAAACACGTCTGTTGACATTTTATTGAAATTGAATCAAATGAAATTCAGTAAAAGTGATTGTATTTTGATTGGTAATGATCAATTTGGTCAGACTGGGTATATATATATATATATATATATATATATATATATATATATATATAACTTCAGAATTTAAATTACAGTCAATATTAGGAAATATAACATTTTAGCTAAGAAAAAAACAAACATTTTTAAGATTTCTACATCTTGAAGCTCTCTTTTGAAGTTAGTAAGTAAGTCAAGTATACACTTTTAGTTGTGTTTATTTATTGAAATGAATTATGAATTGGATGTATGATGGTGTTGTTAAGTTCATCATGAACTTCACCAACTAACTTTACAGTGGCGTTCAATTATTAACTTACTTTACTTACTGATTCTTGGTTAACCATCATGCCTGCTGAACATGCACACCGTTGCATTTTAAGCAGCACAAGGATTCTCACAAGAGCCAATATTGCGATCACCCCTGCCCAATACGGGAAGGTACATGTTGTCTTGATTGGTCTGCAGACAAGTGGACGTCCAAAAAGCATGCACACGAGCAAGGGCCCCTGTTCGGGTACTTATGAATCAACTCGATTCCTCCAAAATAATCCACTACCCACAATCCCCAGTCGGTAAGGGCAGAAAGGCGGGCTTTCCCGGCTAGATTTGGCACCTCGAACGGATTACCGAGCCACCCAGCAGTGCATTATCCAGCAGCTATTCCAACCGTTTGGCCTTCAACTGCCTTGCGCTGATACAAAGGATCGGAGCCCTCAGACCCTACATGAAGCTAAAGATCGAGTTTGTCCCACAAGGTCGGCCGGAACGTTCACCCTCCCATGTGATATTGCTTACTTACTTACTTACTTACTTGTCTACACTTGTTACCCCTGCCTGGAGCCTTACCAAGGTCACTGCCTATCTAGTATTATCGTCTTTCAATTACACCATCATGTTTGTTCACATGTCCTTCTTACAGAATGAACACATTTAACAGTTTGATAATTAAAATTTTTGTTGAAAAGTGATCTATCTCTTCATTAAAATTTGATATTTTTAAATTAGAAATAACCGCTTCATATTTGTTTATCTCTGATATGACCGATAATATCAATAATTATTATCAATAGAAGAGATGAGATAATTATTGCTTAATTCACTTTCTATTAGGATATTCATCAAATATCCTAAAGAAATTCTTTTGTGAGTCTAATTCTATTGGTCGATTCCTATTGGTCAATATTTAAGGTCGTTCTAAACTATCAAGTTCACATACTTTTAAGTGTTGTTTCCTATTGGTTAGTATTCACGGTAGACCTAAATGTATAAATATCCATTGTCTGTAAAGTTTTATGATCCTTATTCTTCTTCTTCTTCTTCTGTACAAACCTCATGTTTTCTGGGTACTTGTAGAATACACTTTCTAAGTCTTGTCAAGACTTCTTCCTCTACTTAGTAGGGCCTTGAGACGCTCGGATTAGAGTAGCCTATCGTGTCACTGAATCATTTGTCTTCTCTGTCGTTTACCGACTAAGGTGAACTCGTATTAGTTCAAGCATATCAGTCGACGGGCATAACACTTTCAAACAGTGAATGGTCGTAACAATTGGAATATTATCTCAATTGATTAAAGAACATTCGAAAACAATTGTCAAATTCTTTTTTATCTTCTAGGGAAAGTGAATTTTTTTAAAACAACATAATCATATGCTCTTCATTACAGAGTTATAGAAGTTGTTGTTTTTCATTGAAATCGTGAACCAGTCATTGTTTGACCAGCATCAGAAACCAAGAAGCACTGATTTGCCGTTTCGTCCCGGTATGGGACTCATCAGCAACGAAAATAATAAAATGTGATCTTTAGTGACTAACATCTTGAGGAAATTCTCGGAGTTTTAGTGGTAAGCCGTGACCAATGGAGGTCAAGCCTTTAGGATGTAGGAGTTACTTACCGAAGACAATAGGTGAGGTTACTCAATACTTTAGATTCCCTAAGGTTAGACATTAACACCGTCAGATGCCGATTCAATAATTTAGAGGTTAAACATTCGCGCTCGAGACCATAGGTCCTCGGTTCGAGGACCGCCAGCGAGGATCGCGGATTAACATCGCCACTGACGAGTTCCGTACTAGGACAAAACGGCCATCCAGCGCTTCCAGGTTTCTAATGGTGACCTAACAATGATCGATTCATGATTTCAATGAATAATTCTATATACAAACAAAATGAGTCATTTTATTATTTTATTTCACAGAATTAAATGAGTATATTCGAAAATGAAGCTCCTTCAGGTGATGTAACAAATGATCACAATAAGACCAGGACATATGTTGAATCACATGGTAAGCTGATAGAAATTATGACAATAATTATTGTCTTGTGACAAATCTCTCGTCAGAATTTCGACTGTAATTTGATCTATTTATGTCCAACCGCATCATAGAATAAAATGAAAAATATCAACTATCCATGAACAGGCCGAAAAGCTTATAATGACAGGAATGTGTGTACACACAGTAATTTAGTAACTTAATAATTATATAGTAAGAATATATGCAATAATAATTACTTACTTACTTACTTACTTACTTACTTACTTACTTACTTACTTACTTACTTACTTACTTACGCCTGTTACCCCCAATCGAGCATAGGCCGCTCACCAGTTTTCTCCAACCAACTCTGTACTGGGCTTCCCTCTCCAGTTCTGTCCAATGTTTGTTCATTACTCTCATATCTTTCTCTATTTCTCGGTGTAATGTGTTGCTTGGTCTTCCTCTTTTCCTTTTGCCTTGAGGGTTCCATGTGAGGGCTTGTCGTTAGGTACTTTTCGTAGTGTGTGTCCTATCCACTTCCACCGGTACTTCCTGATTTCCTCCGCCACCGAAGGAATCTGGTTTGTTCTCTCCCACAGTAGGTGGTTGTTGCTGATGGTGTCTGGCCAACGAGTCCGAAGTATTTTGCGTAGACAACTGTTAATAAACACTTGTATCTTGTGGATGATGGCTTTGGTAGTTCTCCAAGTTTCCGCTCCATACAGTTGAACTGTCTTGACATTTGTATTGAAAATCCTGATTTTGGTTTTGATTGAAAGTTGTTTGGAGTTGCAGATATTTTTCAACTGTAGAAATGCAGCCCTCGCTTTGCCAATCCGTGCCCTCACATCTGCATCCGATCCACCTTGGTTGTCGATGATGATGCCCAGATATGTAAAGGTGTTAACGTCCTCCAAGGTATCTCCATCAAGAGTGATTTGGTTGACGCATGTTATGTTGCATCGGAGAATTTTGCTTTTTCCTTTATGTATGTTGAGACCTACTGCTGCAGAGGCTGCTGCTACACTGGTCGTCTTCTCTTGCATTTGTTGTTGCGTGTGAGATAGAAGAGCCAGGTCATCTGCGAAGTCCAGATCGTCCAGCTGCGTCCTAATAATAGCAAACCATAAATTTGTTCTGGAAGTTACTGTTCCTTAAATTTTCTTTCTGATATAACAATAATATGATTAGTTTTACTAAAATTATTGATAGGAAATAAACCTGACTATTAAATAATATCACTGAAATTTTTTTGAAAGTTTCCATTAAAATTTATAAAGCAATCAGGGTAAAGTAAAATACCTAGGGAAGATTTTATGAGATTCATTACCCACTTACGCCTGTTACCCCCAATGCAGCATAGGCTGCTGACCAGCATTCTCGAACGTACTCAGTCCTGGACCTTCCTTCCCAGCTCTGTCCAACTGTTGATCATTCTGCTCATGTATGTTTCCGTTTCTCGGCGTAATTTTTTCTTTTGTCTCCAACTTTTTCTTTGGTGTTGAGGATTTCAAGTGAGCGCTTGTGTTATGTCGTAGTTTGATGCTTTCTGCAGTGTGTATCCTATCCACTTTCAGCATTTCTTCCTACGCTGGAATTGTGTTTGCTCTCTTCCACAACAGATTGCTGCTGATGGTATCTTGCAAGGGGACCGGAAGTATTTTGCGTAGACAGCTGTTGATAAATACTTGTATCTAGTGGATTATGGCTTTCGTAGTTCTCGATGTTTTCGCTGCGTACAGAACTGTCTCTACATTTGTACTGAAAAATGTGACTTTTGTGTTGATTGATATTTATTTGGAGTTCCAGGTGTTCTTCCATTGTGGAAATGCATCCTTAATTTTGCCGATCCGCGCCTTTACACCTACATCAGATCCAGCTTGCACATCAATGATGCTGTCCAGATATGTAAAGGTTTCTACTTCCTCCTAGACATCTCTATCATGTGTGATTTGGTTGGCGCATATTGTGTTGTATCAGAGAACCTTGAGTTTGCCTTTATGTATGTTGAGACCTGCTGCTACACTAGTAGTCTTCCCTTGCATTTGTTGTTGCGTATGCGTTAGAAAAGCCAGATCATCTGCGAAGTCTAGATTGTCCAGCTGCATCCTAGCTGTCCTTTGGATACCATGCTTCTCTACAGATGTTGACGTCTTCATAATCCAGTCGATCATCAGGAGAAAGAGAAAGGTTGAGAGTAGACGACCTTGTCTGACACCGACCTACACGTCGGATGAGTCTCTCAGATGTCCTCCGTGCACGATCTTTCAGTTTAGTCTATTATAAGAACTCCATATGATGTTGCCTATCATATCTGGCAGGCCATAGTATCGCAGGAACTTCCATAGTGTCATCCTGTTTATCCTATCGAATACCTACTCGTGGCCAATGAAGTTGATGTAGAGTCGTGAATTCCATTCAATCGATTGTTCCACAATGATCCGTAGTACAGCGCGATTTGATCGGTACACCATCGATCCTTACGGAATCCAAATCAGTTATATAGTAATGTTGAGTGTTTTCAGTAGTTTACTTCATAACTAAAAATCAATAATTTAGTAAACTGACTTTTTTTTCTTTGAATTGCCAAAAAAAAGAAGTTTCTCATAGAATGAATAAAAATATTGTTTGTGTCAAAATTATAATCAATCCTTTTGTTTTATATAGTGTACATCCTATTATAATTTAAAGCATCCTTATCATACATAGTTTCCTTTATACTAAATTAACTGTTAATCAACACAGTTTAAAAGAAGATTCTAGTGTAATTCATAAATGAAGATCTCGTAGTGTAGTGAATGAGAACACAGGTGGGGCAACCGAATTGTATTTAACGAAAATTACAGAGTTACTCAGCAAAATCGGACAACCATATCGTAAATCGTTCATTTGCAAAAGATCAGTTCATCCTATGGAACTGGACTGTTCCTGTTGCCAAACATCAATCCATTGTCACTATTCATGCGTTTCATACAAATTCAATTGTTTTCTAACTCTTCCTTTCTTGATCTTCCCCCCATATTATGCTACCAGACTTTACGTTGACACTCACGTTATATACTACTTATAAGTAGTTCGCACCACAGCACCACAGTAGTGGTGTTTCGTTCTCTGAGCTGGATGTGTTGGTTGTGAAGCTTTCATTGTTCTTCTACTGAACAACATCATCAGTACAAACTTCAAATGAAGACCTCAAAAATAGAAAGAATCAAAAAGTTATGAGTTTATGTAACATCTCTGATATAACTAACAGGTTTATATATAACAAGCATATAGCTACTCTCTCATTTCCATTCTGTATATATATACATAATTATCATCAATTGTTTGTTTTTTCTGTTTATAGAAGAAACAGTTATCAGTTTATCAGTATCAAATAACTCGAATGATAAAAATTCTCAACCAACTAGTTCAAATTCTCACACCGACCATAGTTCGAACTATTTCCACAATGGACCATCTTCAGCTGCTAATCCTGTAAAGCCTACTACTACAACCACCACTATCAATATTCAATTAAGTATTGTTACCAAGTCAAGTTCGCCTAAACCAGTAACTATTATTATTGTTATTATTATTTTATTATTATTAATTAATATTAATGTGGATGCGCACTACTGATGAGTCCCACACTAGGACGAAACGGCCGTTTAGTGCTTCTGGGTTTTTTCTAATGGTTGTCTAACAATGATTGATTGATGATTTCAGTGTGTAAAAACGTTGATCTCCATAACTTTAATTGGAAAAATCATACAATGTGCTCACTAGTGATTGGCTTCGTGAGGAAATTCTCACAGTTCTAGTGAGAAGACGTGACCAGTGGAGTCCAACTCTGTCCGGATGTGAAGCAATGCTCACCGAAGACAAATGAGTGAGGTCGCACAAGATCCATAGGTCAATCAAAGTTAGACATTAGCACTGTTGGATACCGGCCCAGTGGTCGAGAGTTTAGGCATTCGCGCGCAAGACTGAACGTCCTGGGTCCGAACCCTTCAAGTAGCAGGAGTCGTGGATACGCACTAATGATGGATGCAAAACCACGACGAAACGGCAGTCTAGTGATTCTGGGTTTCTTCTAATGCTTGTCTAACAATGATTGGTTGATGACACGACTAAGCAGTCAAACAAGATGTGGTCCCCTGATAGCTGGTGACCAACAATAGGTCTATGTGCTGTTTGTCCCCTCAGTATCCTGTGGCCCATATGCATCTTTGGTTGGGAACAAAGGTTTTGCAACTCCTCTACGTGGTACCCCGTAGCCACCGGGCCGGTTCAAGCTGCGGCCAACCATTTACTTTGTCAGTCTCTCAACTTCATAAACAAAATCCTCACTAGAAGAAGAAAGTGAATAGGTCTTCTTTGACAGTGGGTATGTGAAAGGATTTCAAGAGAGAGGACGAACCACTCCAGCTCTTAGCTCTGTAACAGGGCATTTGGTAGTTGATGTATATACATTTTATCTAATCAACGAATATGAATAAATTCATTGAGTACTGTAATGATTTTCAATGCTTAGCGTAAAACTAAAGCATATCAACCAGTTGTGTATTCGTTATAAACTTACATTCTCACAATATCATTCACATCGTACAACATGCTTATTTCATGACGTGTTAAATCCTTCACCTATGTCTCTGCCATCATTCTGTGAATCATTTTGTTACGCATGCACGTAAACAAATCATTTTGATATGCTTGAACTATTACGAGTTTACCCTAGTCGGAAAACGAGAGCGAGGATCGAGAATCGGGTGACACGACATGCTACTCTAATCCAAGTGTCCCAAACCTCATTGAGTGGAAGAAGAAGACTTGATATGAAGTGGAACCTGTATTCTACAAGCATCCAGAAAGTACGAGGTCCGAGTCCAGAAGAGAATCAGGATCCCGGACTAGGGATCCGGGACCGGGTCCTGGTCAATAAACGTTACAGATAATGCGTATTTATACATTTAGGTTGAATAAGAAACAGCATCAAAGTCTGTGACAATGACAGTTCGGACGACCAATAGGAAACAAGATTGGAGTACGTGACATTGATATCAAGGACGATCATAGAATTGACCAGTAGAATTAACCAATAGGAATCGACCAATAATTCTTTCCTGATATTGGATGAATATCTTAACACACTTGTAACTAATCCAATTCTTATTTGCAAAATCTTCACTTAAAATTGTAATACAAAACTAGTCCAGAAATTTAATTTCTTTTCAACCTAATTAATACGTTTCACTCTAATCTTTCTGATTACTGCTTATACTTCTACTACTTCTATCAATTATGGCTTTCGGATTGACAATTGCATCTTTCTGTGTGCTAATGTGGTATGGCAATTTGAACTGATGTATGTAAGTACGTACAAAGTTCTATGTTGTAACTGACGCACTGGCTGATGTTTCGCTATTTACAAGGTATGAATTGGATCATAGTACTTAACTAGTGTATGAGTAGGTCAACAATCTATGTGCAAATCGAAATCCAATTTCCTTTCATAAATTTATCATGTTTTCGTAGGATATTTTAAAAAAAAAAGTTGACCTTGAACATTACAATTTTCTGTCAATACTAAATTAGACAATTTTCGAAACCATGATTCGATCAATGTTAGACCACCATTAGAAACCTGGAAGCACTGGATGGCCGTTAGATACCGGCTCAGTGGTCTAACGGTTAGGGCGTTCGCTCACAATACCGAAGGTCCTGGGTTCGAATCCTGCGGGGTGCAGGAGTCGTGGATGCGCACTGCTGAAGAGTCCCATACCAGGACGAAACGGCCGTCTTTCAGTGCTTCCAGGTTTCTAATGGTGGTCTAACATTGATCGATTCATGGTTTCAAAAATTGTGTAACTTAACAATCTTCACAATCCCGTAATGCAAATACTAAATTAGACAAGTAAATCACTTTCTATCCAACAAAATTTCAGTTTAAATATACATTGAAGCTTATTCCACAATCACAAACAACAAATTCAACTTATGTCGAAGGAGTATATGAAATTATTAATGATGAGAATAAATCATCCGCTGAAATAGCAAATGTAAAACAATCATCATCTTCAAATCAATGCTCAAGTGAAGTAAGCAATAATTAATCAATAAACATCATTTTTATCGATTTATTGATATGAATTTCAAATTCAAGTTAGCCTGAGTGTAGATCAAATGAAAGTTATTTCTCATAAAACTATAGTTGATTGTGGTGGCGTTTCGTTCTGTGAGCTGGATGTTTTGGTTGTGAAGCTTTCATTGTTCTTCTTCTGAACAACATCATCAACACAAACTTCAGATAGAAGTGAAGTATTCGAATTTCTGCCCGTTTGACCAGTAGCTTGTTCTGCTAACCTCGATCTTGACTGGTTGTTGTTGACCTTGAACCTTTCGTTGCTTGCACCTTTGTTTTGATTGTATTCTCCTTTTTTGATCTGTTTCTTGATCCTATGTCACCTATGGTTTTTCTGATTGGTTGATAAATTGGGTTAATATCAATGTGTTAGTTGATTGCTGATTAACCTGAGTGCCAAGCTTCTAAAAATTCTCTAGTATTCTTTGTGTCCCCCCTATCCAGTATTTCCACATTGCCCCAATTGAATGTATGTCCATAATTGTCCGTATGTATTGGTATAAGCGGAGAATTCGTCGTGGCATTTGACTGCTAGTTGATGTTCACGTAAACGAAGCTAAAGATGCCGTCCACTTTGTCCTATGTAGTGTTTTTCACAGTCTGAGCAATTTATTTTGTAGATGATATTTGGTTTTTCTTCCTTTGTCATTTTGTCCTTTGGTCTACATAGGATTGGTTGAAGTGATTCTGTTGGTTTGTGTGCCACACCTATTCCGAATGGTTTCAGTAGTCGTGCTGTATGCTTCGATATGTCTTTTATGTATGGTAGGATGATCTGTTTATTGGTTCCTGCACTTGATTTCGCTTCTGTTGATGATTTCCATTGATGTTTTTTGATGAAGTTGCGTGGATAGCCGTTCTTTTGGAAGATAGTCATAAGATGCTTTTCCTCGTTTTTTAGTGCTTCATATGTGCTGCAGTGTGTCTTCGCTCTCTTGAACAAAGTTTGTATGCAGTTGATTTTGTGTGTTCTTGGGTTGTTTCTATCGTAGTTGAGAATTACGTGTGTGTGAGTTGGTTTCCGAAATACTTGAGTTTCCAGTTCTCTTGTGTTAGTTCTGGTGATTAGTACATCCAGGAATGATAGACTGCTGTTTGATTCCTTTTCCATCGTGAATTTGATGTCATCGAAGACGTTGTTGATCTGATTGTAGATGTACTCCAGCTCGTTCCTTTTGATAATGACCAATGTGTCGTCCACATAGCGAACCCACATTTCTGGCTTGATCACTGGTAAAATCAACTCTTCTAGTCTCTGCATTACAGCTTTCACGATGAGTCCTGACGTTGGTGATCCGATTGGTGTTCCTTTTGTTTGTTCGTAGACTCTGTTGTTGAATTGAAAATACGTTGTTAAGCATAGATCGATGAGTTCGAGCAGATTTTGACTCTGGAGCTTTGTATATTTATGCAGATTTGTTTCGATGAGGAGCAGGGAAATAGTTTCTTCAGCTAAGCTTGGCTCTATTGAGGTGAATAAGGCTGTTACGTCTAAGGATATCGTCGTTTCGTCGTTGTCGATTTCAATCCCCTTCAGTTAGTCCATGAATTGTGTGACTTAGTGCACATTTCATTCCAAACTGTCTGTAGTAATAATAATAATGATAATCAAAAATCACCAGTTGAGAATATTTTAACTGAGTTACAATTTAAATAAGAAACATCTTACATTGTCAAGTATTTTGGAAATTTAAGTTCATCTAAAAGAGACTAAAAATTTGATTTATCAAGTCAAACTTACTTATGCCTGTTACCCCCTTTGGAGCATAGGTCGCCGAAAAGCATTCTACAGTCTATTCTATCCAGCACTTTCCGTTCCATTTATGTCCAATCACTATTCATTCTCCTCATGTCTGTTTGCAATTATTGGCGTAGTGTGTTCTTTGGTCGTCCTCTCTTCCTTTGGCCTTAAGAGTTTCAAGTGAGCGCTTGTCTTGTAACGTGGTTGGGTGCTTTCGTCAATGTGTGTCCTACCCGCTTCCACCGCTTCTTCCTGGTTTCCTCCTCGACTAGAATCTGGTTTGTTCTCTCCTACAGTAGGTTGTTGCTGACGGTGTCTGGCCAACAATCCGATGTATTTTGCGTAGACAACTGTTAACAAACAAGCTTATCTTTTGGATAATGGCTTTGGTAGTTCTCCAAGTTTTCGCTCCATACAGAACTGTCTCGACATGTATTGAAAATTATGTAGGTTCACAGTTGTTTTTAGTTGCAGATGTTGTTCAGTTGTAAAAATGCAGCTGTTGCGTTCTCGATCTGCGCCATCACATCTGAATCAGATTCATCTTGCTCATCAATGATGCTGCCCAGATATGTAAAGGTTTCTACATCCTCCAAGCCATCCCCATCCACAGTGATTTGGTTGGCACATGTTGTGTTGTTTCGGATAATCTTTCTCTACTCTTTATGTACGTTGAGACCTGCTGCTGCTGAGGCCGCAGCAGGTGTATCTTAAATTAATTCCTTTTAAGCAGATAGCATAGTAGTTAGACAGTTTAAAAACATTTTATTGGTTTTATGTTAACAATAAACGACAAAGAGGAATGTGAACTGGGAAGGTATTTACAGCAGTACGAAACTATTTTTCAAGTGAGAAAAGAAATATAAACTCACCGACTTCAATGTAACTCATACCAACTTATACACACTCATATGAATTCATTTGAAAATCAGTATTTTCCCTGATTGTTGATAATCAATTAACCAGAAATTTGTAAAACAACTACGAACTGTACTTCAGTCAACAGGATAAAGTTTTATCGATTTAATCAAATCGTTGCTCTTGTAGTGCCTCCACATATATTCCAGTTCGCTTACATCTAACTTGGTTAAGCCCTTTCGATTAATTTATTTAACCAAGCCATTTGCATAGCAACAATTTATATGTACCATTCGTTCTTATTATTGTCTGGTTTGTATGAGGAGCTCACTAGACGTGTACCACTTGTCATTTGACCTTGTCAATTATTCGTCGATTTTATTCATGTCTGTACATACCTGTTTCGCTTGTCATATATCTGACTATATATTCTTAGTCACTCTCTGTCTCCGTGAGTTGGCTCTTAGCCTTCTCCAATTCGCTTCGCCCATTCGCTCGCATTATAATCCAAAGAGTTGACTCTTTGCCTTCTCCAAAGCGCTTCGCCTATCCATTCGCTTCATTCGTCTTATTCACTGCTTCTCCGCTTCGCCTTGTGGTGTGTCCCGAATAAACGTATTCATCACTATGAGTTCATGTTCTGATTTATAAACCGAGCTTAAGAACACTCAGTAAACAGACACACCACACTCTATGTTAGTAATTTAGTAAACTTTCTTGTCGACTTTGACTAATCATTTCCTATCTATGCAATCATTTCCCTAGTCAGTAAACTTTTGTTTCAGTGAAATTCTGATAGTTAAAACCATACATACTAGTCCGTCAAATTATATTGAATGATTTCAACTGATATTGTTAAATATGTTTGACATGAGTTATCAGTCAATTACATAGTTTATTCACAACTTCTCAATGGATTTATGTTGAACATTGAATTTCTGATTAACAACTCTGTTAATGACAATTATTACATCAAACTAACAACCTGAATGTTCCTAATAATTTATATATTCTCAGAATTTGGTGTCATTTATTTATCAGGTAGATGAAAATTATTTACATCTTGCAAAAGAAACTTGTAATCATCTGGTTAACGAAGAATCGAATCGAACTTTGAACATTGAATCTCTTCCTTTGTTGTCACATTCTTTGAGAACTCAAACAAAAGTAAGCATAAATAGAAAGGCGAATAGCTTATTCATTTGTAAACTGTTTTATGATCAATGTATGATATACCGACGACCTTCAATGACCTCTTAACTAATCCAAAAACTCTGCCTAGTTATGAAATAACTAATAGCATATAAAGCAGTAAAGTAACAATGACATAATAGATTCTATCTGAGTAATTAACCCTCACATATCGAATTATTCCATATAGTAAAATAGCCGAGGTTTACGCATTAGATTTACAAGTCGGGGTTATCACTAAGCAACACTGACTATAATGCCAAAATGTTAAGAATACATGATAAGACTTAAGGTGTAGTTCTATGCTAGTTTTTTCAAATCAGGGTTACGATTTTCACTACGAAATGACTTTAACTATGGGGCAATGCTTACAAGTTTAAAAAGTTAAGAGTTGAAGGGGCTGGAGAATACATTTTAGCTTCGTTAAACACTCTTGACCTCGCATGAAATCATAAGTAGTTTAACATATAATCTGCCTTAAGGGCAGGAATGTTTTATACAATTTACCTCAATCACCATCTTATATTCACTTTTTAGCTGAGAAATAGGAATGTTTGCTGATTTCATGAATTTTGATGACCAAATACTGACAACGTTTAATTTGTTAACAATAATATACAAATTCTTTTTCGCTCTGACTGTTCGCGTTCATTGTGTAGTAGGAGAGTATCCAGAATAACGTAAATGGGGAGAACTAGGAAAAAGAAGACTTAAACAAACTACCCAACAAGCTCTCAGAACGCACTTACATTTAATAAGGATGGTAATAAACAACAGTCAGCAATAACACAAACCTCAGATGAAGAGAATCTGGAAAGTGAAACTAAGTCAGTCAGTCAGTCAGTCAGTCAGTCAATTACAACGTAGAACGTCGTACGTACATACATAAGTTCAGGTTACCATACCCCATCAGCACACAGACGCATTTGTCAGTTCAAATCCCATACTGGTAGAGATAGTAGACTTATTAGCAGTAATCGAGAAGATTAGGGTTCGAAGACATGATTCAAGAAGTATAATTCAGTGAGATAACTTTGGAAACAGAAAGATATAGATGATCAGGAAGTTAGAATTTGAGAGAGCACAACGAATGAATGCACCTGCGCCAATGAAAACGATTTTGAGTCACGTCTTTCAAGGTCTCTAACCATTGGTGACATACGTCTCGCGGACCCCAACCAGGTAGTCTAAATCTACCAAAATAACTCAGTCCACTTGTCAGTGACTTCGTGCATTTCTGCCATGTTTTGGTTTAGCCGCCCCTAGCCTTCTTCCAACCAACTCCTACACCACAAAACAACAAACTGCTCTTCGAGGCAGTCGGTGGTTAGGCATACGTAACACATGTCACAAACACCTCAAATGATGAGGTTCCAATGCTTCATCTATTGATTTGTCATCCTTACCTAATACTCGTTTCCTAACTATAGCATTGCTTACTCGGTTGTCGCAGGATATACGAGCAATGCTTCGAAGACGTCTATAATCGAATAGTAATAACATACGAATGTCCTCTACTCTCACTGGCCATGCTTCACATCTATATGCTAGGACCGAACGAACTGCTGCACAGTACACTCGTCCTTTGGTTATCAAACGGATATCTCTCCTGCGCCACAGGTGACGCAAGTCGTTAAAATCCAATCGAGTTTTTTCTATCCGTGCTGAGATTTTGTCAGTCACCAGACCATCAGCACTGATGAGACTCCCCAGATAAGTGAAGTGGTCTACACGCTCAACTACTTCACTCCCTATCACTAGTTAAGGTGCCGATATAACCTAATCTTGAAGCAACATTTTGCATTTTGAGAGGGGAAATCGAATCTCACACATGCTTGCGGATAGTGTGAAGATTTTGACTCGTTATAATCATTGAACTTTAAATTTCGCACAAAATAAGAAAAGCGTTATCTTAATTACGATCGGCTGACTCAAGGCCGTCAGGCATTATTTATCAATAAGCGACGAATACGGTCAATCATTTTAACTTAAATTTATGTCGAGTATCACGTTTTTGATTTATCACGCTGTTAACGTTAATTATTACATCAAACTAATTACCTGAATTTTCCTAATAATTTATATATTCTCAGAATTTAGTGTCATTTATTTATCAGGTAGATGAAAACTATTTACTTCTTGCTAAAGAAACTTGTGATCATTTGGATAATGAAGAGTCGAATCGAAGTTTGAACATTGAATCTCTTTCTCCGCCATCAGATTCTTTGAGAACTCAAACAAAGGTAAACAAATCATTGGTATATGCATAATAAATGACCAACTAGTTTGAACAAACCACTTCTTGATTTATATTTGATATTATTTGTCAATTTTTTCATTGCAGTTATTTTCACATTGATTTGTTTTATTTCATAGATGGAATAGTTCTTCAGAATTGACGTACAATGTATATGATATGAGTCATTGTGAGTAGACAATTTTTACCATAAATTTATTGCACTTGAAATAATTCGATAGAACATATAAATTGGAAAGTCCTTCTCCTTCTCGTTACTACACTTTTAACTACGGTACAATTAAGTCGAATACAGTATAAGTTCGTGATTAGAAAATAAAGTTCCATCAATTATAGTAGTTCGTATCACGAGTTCATATCACTAGTTAAAAAGGACAGTTGTACTTAAATAGGTGGGATACACTAAAATTTGTTCTGACTATTGAACAGTTTTCATTTGTTTAAATAACTAGGGTTCCATTAGAGAGAGAATAAATCACAATAAGTCATATAAACATGAGAAATCTTTATTCAACAGAATTAGTACAGTCTTATTTGTCCTTGTCAGCTTATTTGTTTTAACTATAAAAAAAGAATCAAGGCGGGTAAATTAATTAAGTTGTGCAGATGTGAGGGCGTGGATTGGCAAAGCAAGGGCTGCATTTCTACAGTTGAAAAATATCTGGAACTCCAAACAACAACCAACCAAAACCAAAATCAGCATTTTCAATACAAATGTGAAGACAGTTCTACTGTATGGAGTGGAAACATGGAGAACTACGAAAGGCATCATCCAGAAAATACAAGTGTTTATTAACAGTTGTCCACGCAAAATACTTCGGACTCGTTGGCCAGACACCATCAGCAACAACGTACTGTGGGAAAGAACAAACCAGATTCGAATGGAGGAAGGAATCAGGAAGAAGTGGTGGAAGTGGATAGGACACACACTACAAAAAGCACCTAACTGTGTCACAAGACAAGCCTTCAGATGGAACCCTCAAGGCAAAAGGAAAAGAGGAAGACCAAGCAACACATTACACCGAGAAATAGAGAAAGACATTAGAAGAATGAACAAAAATTGGATAAAACTGGAAAAGGAAGCTCGGTACAGAGTTGGTTGGAGAAAACTGGTGAGCGGCCTATGCTCCGTTGGGGGTAACAGGCGTAAGTAAGTAAGTAACTAACTAACTATCAAAAACTTATCGAAACTGATTATTTTATTCTCATACTTAAATTGTACTGCTTATTGTCAGCCAAAAAAGTGATATCTTGCAACATGGTTAATGCCTAATGAAACTGTGTATTCTGTGTGTATTCAAGTAAATCCTCTTTTAGTAGTGTGCAAAATTAATTCAGATTTGTAAGACTTGCATGCATCTTATTTTTCAGTTAGTTTCTCATTCTAAATGTTAATCTGCAATTTGACCATTAAACGAAGTGAAACAATGTGGCACATTTTGGTATATTCAAATAGACAAATAGCTTTAAAGTTATTTCGTTGAAAAAATCCTGTCTGTAACCCTAATCTCAATAACTTGCATAAATCCAAATGTCAATATCCCACAGATAAAAAGACAAACATACATTATTTTGTTACACCTGCACGTAAACACGTCATTTTGATATGCTTGAACTATTACGAGTTTACCTTAGTCGGAATATGAAAGCGAGGATCGAGGATCCGGTGACATGACATGCTACTCAAATCCGATCATTCCAACCTCCATATTGAGTAAAAATAAGAAGACTTGATATGAATTAGAATCTGTAATTCCTGGTAAAATACAAGTACATATTTCCTTTTTTTTCTCATATCTCTCCTAATTCCATGAATGTTTTAATAAATTTTAGTGAAGATAAAATGCTTTGTCTTAAATAGACAGAAGAACCAAAACACTAACATGTCAAATATGATCGATCAATGAATCTACCAGTAACATTGTACAATTCCCGTTGCTTTAACTTGATCTAACCTTGACGCTGAATCTATTAGACTGAACATAAACTTGTACATTGCTTATAAACAAGATTAAGCGTCATTGATTCAGTCAAATGTGATTTAATTACTGTCCGGTGTTATGCCTTTTTTTCCGTTTAACAGATTGTATAGAATTGTTTTTTTATTATCGCACTAAATGTATTTATTTTTGTTTATGAAAATAGAATAAAGTGCTACAAGCCAGTGAGCTTTGTTTTTTAACTTGGAGAACGCCAAAACTATGTGTTCCCCAGCATAAGGAATGTAACAGGAAATTTTCAACAGTGACTTATGACTTATTGACTAACCAATACAATTACTTTTGAAGTGACTTTTTAGGAGTAGTAAGATGTTGACAAACTTCCAAAGTTGCCGTCCTATTGTTCAGAGGATTATAACACAGATCAACTTGGAAATAAACAACCTATAAGCAATGCTCTGATATAGTTGGAGGATACAATTAGCTAGATTGTATGTAACACAAAAGAAAGTGGACTAGAGAAATGACGTTTTTAGAAAAGAGAAAGTTTTCATCTGTCAATGTGTCGTATTATCTTCGTAGAATCGTTCCACTACAGAAGGTTGCGTGTTTGAATCACGCGCAAGAAGTCGTAGCAGTGTTTTTGGTACAGTTAAACAAAACGAGTACAATAATGTTTATTTTTCACAAATCGTATTATCTTCGTAGAAGCGTTCCACTACAGTACAACAAGAAGCAAGCAGTATTTAAAAATATACATTTACTAAAGAGAGATTTTTTGAGTTTTTTGTTACATCTGTAAGTTGCTGGAATTCGACGAAAGATTTCAAAGTGTGTATCGACAGTGAGAATAATGGAATTAGAGCTTAGCTGAATCACTGTGATAATCAGAAGAAACTTCTTCGTATTCTCGTAATAACGAATGAACCAGCATTCTAGTGGGACAGAACTCTGTGTGCTCAGTTGAAAGTAATGTGTTGGGAATTCGAATAATGATGTAGAATCCATTTTGAAGGCTTCGCTTTTGGGAAAATCCTTCCATGTATATTTTAGTGTTATGATCGTGTTGACCCTTTCTGTTCAATATTTTGGTACTCTGTTTAGTCCCAATGCGGGATATTTATATTTGTATTTTGTTATATTTCTTATTTTCTGTACTTGAGTTTATATGTTTCCTACTGAACTGTAAATGTGTTGTTTAAATTGATACTTAAAATGGCTACAGCCATATCGGATTTGATACCTTTGCGGTAATTTTGTATTCTTAACTGGAAGGACGCATTCTTCCAGAATTGGAAACTTATTGTGTTAATTTCGGATCGAGACAGTATAATATTGTTTAGGTAATTATTTGTATTCCTTTTTTTTGATTAATAATAAAACCGTTCTTACCCAGAAATTTATATTTTGAATTTGGATTGGGCAAGGCGCGTATATTCTTCATAGTGTCTCCGAAAGTAAAGTCCATTGAAGTGAATTTTTCTATAGTGACCATAGTAATCAGTGTTGTAAACAAACGTCACAAATACTTCGTTTAGTGTTGCCAAGCGAAATTAAAGGCTGTTACTCTTTACTTCACTTTTTAAAAACCTAAAATATTTTACCTTCAAGTATTAGGGCTTTCAGAAAAAATTTATAGACAACAGAAAATTATAGTACTCACTGTAGGATTTAATTTGGCCTACAGATGTAATTCTAAACTGTAAACGCAAATACTGTTGATCACTGAGTCCACAATAAAATCAAAACGATGAAAACTTGGGTTTAAACGATTAAATTAGTACAATAAATAAGGAAATTACAATTATCAAGTAAGATGAGCAAACGTACCAACCAGTATAGCGTGTCTTTAGAAAATGAATAAAAACATGAGTCACAGCAATATAAACAAAATAATAACATCCTTCAATCGATAGGCTGTTCACAACAAAGAAAGTTTACAGACCGGTCAGACTAGATAACGTGGTGAGCGCTTAAACCAATCTGATTGGTTAGTTATGACATAACTACAATAGTTATAAAATAACTAACACTCACTTACATTGGTAATTTGTTGAATTCTGCTAATTGCTTAGGATAATTGTTTACAGAAGTCTAAATATGTGCAATGATCTTTGAACAGATGACTACATTTATCTGTACTGATTCAGGACCTCGTATTATCAATGTTCATGAATCCAGTCTATGAAATGATCTATTAAAAACTGGCACACTTAACTACATTTTCGGGCTTTTGCTGTAACAGGCTTCCTTAGTTAGGACTCCAGATTAATAAGAAGAAGACAGAGAAAAAGATTTATTCCCAAATAATAATGTGTTACATGAAATATGCTACTTTACAAGTAAGATTAACAGTTAGCAGTGCTACTAGATTTATTGTAATAAGTCGTTCAAATTCATATTTTACCACATATGCCGGTTATATTGTTCAGTCCAGAGTTGTTTATAGAAAGAAGGATTGTGGTATATGCATAATCGTTTTTTGATGGTGTCCTCCAGATAATGAATTCAACAGGCTTATGATAATATCAACTGCAAGTCTTCCTCAAGTATTGGAGTTATTAATCAAGAAATAGGACGACGCAATATGAGATTTAAATGTGTTTCCAGCAGTACTTCGTGATGGTAATGAAGAAGAAAAGGATGGAGTAAAGGGTTGGGAACAGGGCAGAAAATATTCGTAATTGCAGTTAAGTCACTTGTGATGGGATTGACAAGGAAAAACTACTTGAACATTCCGCTTTTTTGGATTTTTTTTTTGTCTGACTGTTTTTATATAGGATACTGAAAACAAGCTAAGTATAACTCAATTACCCTAGTACATTTGACCTCACCTTTTCATGATAAACAACCGGTGGGATTTAGGCCTTTTTTTATCCCAACTATAGCTGCTACCTTGTCGTGGTGGTCAGACTTGCCTATCGTGATGACCCAACCGAGCTATATTGCCCGGAAAATATGTAGCTGTGGGTCCTCCCATACCAGGCAGGTCGATCGAAGAACGAAGAGACTAAAAGCAGCTACTCACGTTCTGAGTGCGAAGTCGTATACTGATGGCAGTAATGTGTTTTCCTCTGACAACCAGCATCTGCAGCGATGCTACCTTCTCACAAGGAAGGAAGTGTTAGGAATGGTCGACCCTAAAATTGTCACACCTCACCCTACCTCACGGATTTCCGTCTTCGGCAGTAAGCGTGCCCACTAAGGGCCTTTAAAAGCGGAGCTAATCCTCAGAAAACCTTTGATAAAAAGGCCGTGCGTGACCGGCCTCAGGCAGTTGTCCCTTGGACTCTGCGATCACGCTCCCAGGTCTCTAAGATCAACACTGATTTACCTTCTTTCTCAGGTTCCTCAAGAAACCACCTTCCATGGTGTGGGCAGCCGGGAGGTGACAACAACCCTCATACACGTAACAGCACGCGAGACCGAATTAGTCACAAACAAATACTTTGTTTACCCCCTACGATCTCTTTTATCTCCTGTACCACTAATGCGAATGATGCCAGTTCACGAAACGTTATTCCTAGTCTCCCGAAACCTCGTTCTAAATTTCATGTTGGAGCATTGAATCTACGGAGGCTTCCATAGCTAGGACTTAAGAATCTCGCTCAATCGATGTATGCTGAAACACGCATACACGAACACAGTGAAATCACTTATTTGAATTCACCTTGTCGAAATAAAGAACCACCTCGAGTTACTCTTCGTGTACCTGGAAACCCTGATGCTGCTTCTCGGGGTCTCGTTGGCGTAGGTACAGCACTGAGTCCTAGGGCAGAACTAGCGCTCCCAGACTAGATACCTGTAGATCGTAGTTTGTGCTCTAGCCAACTAAACGGGACAGTAAGGACACGGAAAGATAGGGACACTCGCCTGTATCTCTTCGTCATATCTGTAGAATCCATTTTGAAGGTTTTGTTTTGGGAAAATTCCTCCATGTACATATTTGTAATATGTTCTTGCTGACTCTCTCTGTGCTACATTTTGGTGGTCTGTCTAAGCTCATTTTGGGATGTTAATATTTGTATTTCGTTATAATTTCTATTTTCATACCTTTTTTGGAGTTCCTATGTTTTCTACTGAACTGTATTATGTTGTAAAAATTGGTACTTAATTATGGCTACAGCCATATCGGATTCGATACCCTGGCGAGTAAAACGTGAATCTGGACTGGAAGAGTGCAATTTTGGACCTATGCAGAAGCATTCTTCCAGAACTGAAAACATATTGTGTTAAATTTGACTGAGTAAAGTGTAATACTGTTTAGGTAATAATCTGTAAATTTCGATCAATAATAGAACCGTTTCTTACCTAGATAAATTGCTTTCTTTTTAGGATATCCTGGCAAGGCGCGCATCTAAACTTCTACAACTGTTTTTACGAAATCAGAATCCGCTATAAAACTTACATGATTTAGGATATATGTGCGCCCACACCTGGAGGGTTACAAGGCCATCGCGACCACTCTGCTTAAAAGAGACATAAAGTTCTTGGACCGAGTGCAGAGACGAGCAACGAAATGGGTGGTAGGGTTGGAGAACAAAACTTAAGAAGACAGACTTCAACACTTAAGATTATTCCTACCGAGTTACAGGAGATTCACAGGGGATCTGATCATGGTGCATAACATACTAAGCTAAACAAACCATCCCAATGTGAGTATCTTACCGATCCATAACCACCACATCCCTCAAGGCAATCCTCGAAAAACTGCACATTAAGGAGCGAATACTCAGGTTCCTGCACGCATTTTCTCATTAAGAATCGTTGTAACTTGGAACTCTCTCCCAGCTGAGGTGACCACAGCTTCAGGAAGAGACTTGATAAATACGTACTCACACGTGAACCATCTTCTCCCTCGTGGACAAGCTGTGCTTGATGTGTGTCTTGAGACCTGCTAGTTTTTATTAATTCCACCAAATCAGATCACCCAATCAACCTATCTCGCCTATTATCTCTGTTTCCTCTCCTTCACTTACACGTCGGTCCTCTCTCACAATCTTCACTACCAATTAATAAACTAAATAATCTATATATTACTTAGTTCTGAAATTTTATTCGTATTGGTATTAGGATTTTATCCTTATTATCCTTATTACTGTCCACATTGCAAATAACTGACCTCCGGCCTGGTAATGTGATAGCTGCTGGTATCCAGAAATCCTTCTGCCCTGAAGCAAACCTTTTCTTTAAAATCACGGGACATACAAACTCACAACCAACTCCAAAATGACTACAATTAGACAGTCGAGTTGCTATATCCCTATTCATCGGATACTACAAACACCTGGAACCGTAACGAAACAATAATAATCGAGCATAAAGCATTCAGTTGGTTTATACCAGCTCGTAAAGAAGATATTGGATATTGATACGTTTTGGAGGCTGCTATAGTTTGGAACGTTACTGTCGGGGTATACTTCCTTGAGGTCTTTCTCCAATGAGTTTCCTGTTTGGATCCAGAAAAACACCTGAGGAGCAGCTTAGAGAAAGCAAACGAACCATTACAAGAACTCTTCGAGAGATCGATAGGGAAAAAGCTCAGTTGGAGAGGGAGCGCGTTCGTGTTACAAATGAAATTCGTATGTTAGCAAAGCGTGGTCAAATTGATGCCGTCAGAGTAATGGCAAAGCAGTTAGTTCGGACAGAAAGCTACATTAAAAAGTTTTCCTTGATGCACTCAAATATCACAGTTTGTAACGTTTTCTCAGTCGAGTGTTTATTTTAATAATAGGCGTTGTCAATAAAAATTCAGACTTTAAAATCAACTGCTACAATGGCTACAGTCATGAAACAGGTTGCTTTAACAATGGGTAAAATGAATGCAACCATGCACTTACCCCAACTTCAAAAAATCATGCTGGAGTTTGAAAAACAAACTGAAACGATGGAGTTGAAACAGGATATGATGTCCGATGTAATAGATGATGCTATTGGAGATCAGGACGAGATTGAGGACTCTGAAAATGTTGTGAACAAGGTTAGTGCTGTTTTTGATGGTAGTCTGATTGTGCGACTGAGTTATTTGAAATTTTTAAGATGTTTAATTCCAGTAAGTGCTTGATATTTTGTAAATAACTTGACCAAGAAAACAAGATGCATCATATAACCTCGAGTATAGTTCTCTTGATAATGTCTTACTACTTCCCGACTTAGTCGAAATCCTTACCAAAGCGAACTTACAAAATCAACCAGTATTAATGAATAAATAATATTAAAGCACAGAAATTATTACGACAAACACAGCTTTACTTTTGAGTCTCAGTACAACTTGAGATTCTAGTAGTGACTCACAATAATTCTGCGTTTAGTCATTTTTCCAGTTATGTATGAATTAAATAGTATTCATACATTTCGTATTAACAATTCACTTCATGAAGTTCGACAGACGGTAACTTCCTGTAGGTTTCAAAAGTGTCGGTCCACATCCTATAATTCACGGTATCATAAAGTTGGACACATGAGTTCAGTAGTTTTTTACTTCTCTTAGTCTGTAAATTGCTGTAGATATTTTTCTAGGTTTTTCGCAATTATTTTTATCATATTTTCCAAATGAAGGCTGTCACAGTCAAGTTTGTGATATAATTTTTCATGTCTTTGAATAAGTCTGTATTTGAAAACCATAGGTATTAGAAGAGCTTGGAATCGATCTTAATGCACAGTTGAGTAATCTTCCAACAGCCCAGGGTACACTTGGCAGCACAGTGACAAATACAGTACAACCTCGTGCGGTTCCTGCTGCTCCTGCACCAGCATCAGGACCTGCTCCAAATTCTGAGTCCAGTGATCCTATCGATGAAAATAACTTGGAAGCTCGTTTAGAACGTCTTAAAAGGAAGTAAAATCTCAATTCACGTATGAGTGGATATCGATTTTCAGCTCCAACAACTATCTCACCCCATGTTTATATATCCGTTTATCTCAAGCCAGCATAATGATGCTCCAAACCTTATTAACAAACAGATAATATTTTTGAACATTCTGGCTATTCAGACTGCTAAAATATTGCAAATAACTTCTATAAAGATGTTTTGTATTTTATGTTGCAAATCTCTATAGTTTATAATCTAAATAAATATGACTTTATTTCTCAACAGTTTAATAAATTAAACTCAACCCACAGTTATTCCGGGTAGTTCGATTGATCACTAGGTGTTTGTGTCGAGTTAGTCCTCGAAATTAAAGTGTCCCGCTAATCCAATTCGTTGCATTACAAATCTACAGATAAACTACTGTTATCGTCTTTATACTGCAGTTTGAATCCCACAGGAAATCAATGCAGTACCATTGGTTATCCTACTGAGTATACAGGGACAAAAGTACCTGATATGAGTCAGCCAGTCAATTACAACGTAGGACTTCGTACATGAGTACGAGCCATACCACATCAGCACAGAGATGCAACTGTCAGTTCAAATCCCATACTGGTAGAGATAGTAGAATTATTAGCAGTAATCGAGAAGATTAGGGTCCGTAGACATGATTCAAGAAGTATAATTCAGTGAGATAACTTTGGAAACAGAAAGATATAGATGAGAACACAATGAATTAATGCGCCTGCGCCACTGAAAACGATTTTGAGTCATGTCGTTCAGGGTCTCTAAAAATCGGATACTATCATCTGGCGGATCGCAGCCAGGTAGCCTACATCTATAAACATGACTCAGTCCATTTGTCAGTGACTTCAGGGAGTTCTGCCATAATTTGGTTTAGACGCCCCTAGCTTTCTTCCAACCAACTCCTACACCACAAAACAACAAACTGCTCTTCGAGGCAGTCGGTGGTTAGGCATACGTAACACATGTTCCAACCACCTCAACTGATGAAGTTTTATTACTTCATCTATTGATCTGCTATCCTTACCTAATACTCGTTTCCTAACTATAGCATTGCTTACTCGGTTGTCGCAGGATATACGAGCAATGCTTCGAAGACGTCTATAATCGAATAATAATAACCTACGAATGTCCTCTACTCTTACCGGCCATGCTTCACATCTATATGGTAGGACCGAACGAACTGCTGCGCAGAACACTCGTCCTTAGGTTAAAAAGCGGATATCTCTCCTGCGCCATAAGTGACGCAAGTTTTTAAAAGCCAATCGAGTTTTCACTATCCGTGCTGGGATTTCGTCAGTCACCAGACCATCAGCACTGATGAGACTCCCCAGATAAGTGAAGCGGTCTACATGCTCAACTACTTCACTCCCTATCACTAATTCAGGTGCCGACGCAAGCCAGTCTTCAAGCAACATTTTTCATTTCTAGGGGAAAACAGCATCCTGAATATGCTTGCATTGTTGTTTAGGGTAGTCAGAAGACTCTGCATTTTGTCAGCGTCTTCACCGAATAGAACTTTTATCAGCATACTGTAAGTCAGCAAGCGTGTTTCCTGGTAGAAGGTCCTCTCCTGAAAGGTCAGACGATGATAATGTTAATTCAAATCATTTATACGACAAAGTTAAACAAGAACGGAGAGAGTGGACAGCCCAGACACCACTTGATGTAAAGAACTCCGATGAGCTGTCACTCGAGCTTCAGTGTTCGGGTATAGAGCCTGTATTAGGTTAGTGTACTTATCTGGTACACCTTTTAGTGACAGAAACTGCTACATAACCTCGCGTTCGACCGAGTCGAATACCGCTTTAAGGTCAAGAAATACTACTATTGTGGGGCGTACGAACTGGTGTCTTTGTTCTAAGAACTGACGTAGTGTGAATATTTGGTCCATACATCCTCGTCCAGGTCGAAAACCAACCTGGTTTTCTCTGGTCTGCTCTTCACGTGATCTAGTTTGGCGTTGGAGTGTTATTGAGGCCTATATTTTCGATACTATATTAGTTAAACTGATTGCTCTGTGACTGTCACAAGCGGACAGTTGTCCTTTTTTATAAATTGGTACAATCAGCGATTGAGACCGGTCAGTTAAGATTAGGCCCAGTTCCTATATTCTACTTGAGTTCTCAGTCAATGTAACTGCTAAACCTGAGCCACTATCCTCAGGTCACTATCAGGTCCCGTTGCTCGCCCTCACTTCAGAGCTGCTTACAGCGCGGAAGGGTGTTTCTTGAAGAACCTGAAAAGGAAGGTAGATTAGCGTTGGTATTAGAGACCTGGGAGAGTGACTGCCGAGTCCAAGGGACAACTGCTTGAGGCTGTTCTTTTAAAAAGTCTTAGCACCGGAGACGGAAATCCGTGAGGTGTGACATTTTTAGGGTCGACCTTTTCTAACCTTTCCCTTCCTATTGAGAAGGTAGCATCGCTTCAGATGCTTGTTGTCCGAGAGAAACAGATTACTGCCATCACACCTCTCTACAGTCAGCAGTACGAATTCGCCTTCAAACCTTGAGTAACTGCTTTTAGTCTCATCGTTCTTCCATCGACCCGCCTGGTATGGTAGGACCTATAGGAACATTTGTTCCGGGCAATATAGCTCGGTTGGGTCATCACTATAGGTAAGCGCGATATCGACTTATGAGCCGTAATCTCTTGACTAGGTTGTAATTTAATGATGATGAATTTGAATTTTTGAATAACACTTTCCAACGAACATAAAGACATCATTAGGATAGCAAACTGTGAGATGGTGGAGAAATTTCGCAGCTCAGGTGGTGTTTCGTTTTCTGAGCTGCATGTTTTTGTTAAGGAGCTTTCATTAATCTTCTGAACATCATCAGCACTCGTATAAGGTCAAAGAAATACACTATCTTCGTTTGACTTCCCATGAGCTGACCTTCTACCAGGAGACTTTCTACTCGACTTGCAATATGCCGATGACATGGTTGTTCGCAGAAGACGCTGACAAAATGCAGTCTTCTGACTACCTTAAGCAACCATGCAAGCATGATCGGAATGCGATTCTCACTCTCGAAATGCGAAAGGTTGCTTCTCGATTGGCTTGCATCGGCACCTGAACTAGTGATAGGGAGTGAAGTAGTTGAGCATGTAGACCGCTTCAATTATCTGGGGAGTCTCATCAGTGCTGATTGCCTAGTGTGTGACGAAATCTCAGCACGGATAGAGAAAACTCGATTGGCTTTTAAAAACTTGCATCGCTGATGGCGAGAGATATCTACTTTTTAACTGAGCAGCAGTTCACTCAGCCTTATTTTATGGGTGTACAACACGGCCGCTAAGAGTTGAGCATATCCGTAGGTTACTAGTATTCGATTATATGTGTCTTAGAACCATTGCTAGAATACCGTGTGATCACCAAGTAAACGGTGCTGGAATCAGGAAAAGGAAAGTCGATATGGATGGCAAATCAGTGGAATTAGTGGATCCTCAATTAAGACGGTTACGATATGTAGCAAAACACTGACTGCCATGATGAGCGACTTTTTGTGGTGTGGGAGGCGATTAGACCACAACCTGGCAAAAATCCACGGACAAGTGGACTGTGCCACGTTGGTAGATGTACACTATCAGGTTGAGATCTGCGAGACAATAGTGACTGCTAGTTCGAAACTTTGAACATGACTAAAAATCGTTCGCAGTCATGTTCTCCCAAATTCTGATCGGAATTCCTTATGACCTTCATCTTCCTTATCTCCAATTTGGACTGTACTCCTTGAATAAAATCTTCAAATTCTAATCTTTCCGATTACTGCTCATACCTCTACCACTACATGATTTGACTTGACAATTGTATTGTAGTATGGCAACGTTGTTACTGAATATGTGTAAGAATTCTCAATAAGACCACTAACAAACTTACTATCACTACAACTAACTACTAGGATATATTAACAGCTGTTTATACTTGAGTTAGATCAATTGTTTTATACCCAAGTTTATGTTTATGCAATTCGTTCAGCATCATAACTAACTATCTAATATACAATATTCTGTACTAAATACATGCCGCCGCCTTACATGCTTTGAAATATTCAATCTAATTGTATCCTGTCTCAACTGAAATGAAAACATGGATAAAAATATGCCGTTATAGGTAGTGAAGTAGTCGAGTGTGTAGACCGCTTCACTTATCTGGGGAGTCTCATCTGTGCCGATGGCCTGGTGACTGACGAAATCTCAGCACGGATACAGAAAGCCCGATTGGCTTTTGCCAACTTGCGTCACTTATAGCGTAGGCGAGATATCCGTTTTCTGACTAAAGGACGAGTGTACTGCGCAGTAGTTCGCCCCATCTTACTTAATGGCTATGAAACATGGCCAGTGAGAGCAGAAGATATTTATAGGTTACTGGTTTTCGATCATAGGTGTCTTCAAAGCATTGCTCGTATATCCTGGGACACCCGAGTGAGAAACGCTGTTATTAGGAATCGGGTGCCAGGTAAGAATGGCAGATCAATAGACGCAGTAGTGACACTTCAGTTGAGGTGGTTGGGACGTGTGTTGCGTATGCCTAACCACCGACTGCCTCGACGGGCTTTGCTTTGTAATGTAGGAATAGGTTGAAAGAAAGCTAGGGGTGGCCAAACCAAAAAAATGGCAGAAATCCATGAAGTCATTGACGAGTGGACTAAGCCATGTCGGTAATTGTCGACTACCTGGTTGGGGTCCGCGAGATGATAATAATCGATGGTTAGAGACCTTGAATGACATGGCTCAAAATCGTTCGCAATGGCGCCGGTGCATTTATTCTTTGTGTTCTCTCAAATCCTAATCTGTATTCTTCAACCCCTATACTTTTGACTTTCTAAACTTTTCTCACTGAATCATACTCCTTCAATAATATCTTCTAATCCTAACCTCTTCGATTACGTCTGATACCCTTAGTACCTCTTCTACTTTTGGATTTGAATTGACAATTATATATCTGTGCTGATAAGGTATGGCAACATGAACTGGTGTACTTACGTACAAAGTTCTACTTTGCATCTGACTGACTGACTTTCTTCTATATGAAATTTGAACATTGAATAAACAATATATGTTTATATATGTATATACATTAGAAAAAAGTTTGTTAAATAATAATATACAATGAAATCGAAATCAACAGAATTAATCAAATAAATATTTGTACATGAATTTGCAATATTTCGCAAATTCGCTGCTAATAATTTTGCCAAAAAAATAAACAAAAGAAGGAAAAAAGTTATTTCGGTTGGTCGGTTATAAACGATGAAAATAAAAGTAAATATTATCACAGTTTTGAATAAAATATAATCATAGATTAATGAATGATGTTGTCTAACTGGAAGAAGCTGCATCTAAATCAGCCATCAATCCACTGTCACCACTTAATCTTTGTCCACCATCAGGTAATTTATAATGATGATGATGATGTTGATGACAATGTTCATCATCATCATCGATAGCACTTGGCTCTGATTGAACAATATTATGATTCATTAAACATGTTGTTGTTGATGATATAGGTGAACAAATGTTATGTTGTGGTGATGAAGATAAAAGATGATTATGATTATGATTATGATGAACAGAGGAGCATGTATGGTGTTGTTGTTTGTTTAATAATGATGATGATACATTGGTAGACTGAATTGCCTGTTTATCAGTTAATCCCATTTTATTATAACCTGAACAATGTTGATGATGTTGATGTTGATGAGTTTGATGATGATTTTTTTGTTTGACAATCTCTTCACGTCGTAAACGTTCCATTTCTGTCACTTCTAATATACATTCTTGTAAATCTTCTAATAATCTAGCACGATCTGAACTTGTTTTAGTATTCAATGTGATTAGAATACGTGCTTGACCATGATGATGATGATGATGATGATTAGGAGGTGTTTCAACAACAATAGGATTCATTTGTGCAACCGGTAACAATAGTTCTAAACCATTAGGATGATGAATAGTTTCAAATGGAACTAATTTTACGCCTAATAATTGAATAGTCATACGAACTTGATAGGCGACTGATGCATCACGTCTACGTTTTTGTACACTTTTAGTGATAAGAAGAAGATCATTGAATAAAAATAATTCACGTTGATGTGCACCAGAACGTTCTCGTTTATTTTTATCTGGAACCTAAAACACAACACAACAAAAATAGAGAAAGAAATAATTTTTTGTTAACCGGTGACAAGCTAATGTTTTGAATTATATTGAGTTTATAGGAGTCATAACAGTTTGTAGATGATAATCGAGTGAGCCTGTCAGCTATATCGTAGAACTTTGTACGTGCATACATCATCTCAGGTTGCCATACCACGTTAATTGTGCTATTACGGGTATGAGGGAGAATGTAATTCACCGCCTGACCACACCATGGAAAGTGTCTAGTGGTAAAGAAATTAAACGACGAAAACTTCTTCATTTGAAATTAAGCAGCCATGAAATTTTGTCCTAGTCCAACAATAAGAAATAGTATTCAGAAGTCTATTGTTACAACTTCGTGTCTGTTTCCTTCGACATTTCAAGTGCACGCCCTCAACCCGACAGACCCTCACACTTGGATAGACTACACAAACGATACGCTTTACTGACAAATAAATATTTGCTTGTCTTTGAATATTTTTCATAGGCTACAACAAAAACGATTTAGGACTGGTTAATATCAATACTGTGGTACCAGTTACGAGAATGTGGCAATCATTGGAAGAGTAGAGGAAGTGCAATTTAAATACGTCACTCTTTATAACTGTAAACCAGTTGAGATTAAACTGACTTGTAGGAACTGTAGGATTTAATTTGTCCTACAGATGTAATTCTAGAACAGTAAACGCAATATTGGTGAGCACAGAGTCTATGGTAAATCTATAGTAAGAATGAAGTCTATTTAGTTTTAAACTTTATCTGTTTCGACCAGTATAGCGTGTCTTTAGAAAAATGTATAAAGACGTGAGTCATATCAATATAATAAGATAATACGACCTTCAATCAATAGGTCACTCACAACAAGGAATGTTTACAGACCGTTCAGACCAGATAGCGTGGTGAGCGCTTAAACCACAATCTGATTGGTTAGTTATAAAATAACTAATAGGAACCATCACTCCTAGATTGAACAGAATTGATACTCAGTACATACATAAGGAGTGCTATCCTTCATTTCTAAAACATAAAAAGCCACATTTTATAATGTGTCAATACAATAAATTACACCGAATTCAATAATGACAAATGCAATTACGACAAATAACTAACCTCATAAAGTCGACAGTAACAAACTAATCTCCTTTGGGGTATTGACAGATTCAGAGGTTTTTGTGGACCTGTTAAATGTTGTTGTATTTTACGAACTTGATCTGTATGATCTGGTTGTACAGACATTTCTTGTGATTTGATTCGATCATAAATACCAAGTAGAAAATCTCGATCTAAATCTTCACCTTAATATATAATAAAAAATATATTATCAATTACAAGTAATATAGATTGACTCATTGACATCAATATAGCTATTAAATATAAAACTAACATTCTGATGACACAAATCAAATCAGTGTTTTAGCAGAAAGTTCCCATATCATATTGGCATAACGATATGAACACCAAGTGAGGAAGATTAAACATTCAGAATACGAAATCAAGGAGTCAATCTATCTAAACAAACGATTTTACTCCATCTCTCGTCTCTAACCAATGGTTACGATTATTGAGCGGTTACTAATTTGTGTCTTCAACAAATAACACTATATCTGTATAATCTAACTCAGGTACGTTTAGCCTTGAAATAATTATCTTTAAAAGCATTTTCTTTCGCATATGTAAATAAAAATTGTGAAAGCAAATAACCGTGACGATTTCAACGAAAGTTCGCCACAACCTGACCAGTCAATAATGGGTTGAGTTGAGAACACAAACAAGATCAACGTACTACATTGATAGGCTTTCTAATTACAGATACTGCCACAGTCAAACTCCACCTTAAGCTCGAAGATCAAGTCTATTGTACCCATATTCTAAGACTCTCCGAATAGTGGATCAAACTGGCTTGCTCCTGGATTCTATCAACGGCATCTAAGTATAACTGAAGGCTTTAATTTAGCCACTATATCAGTTAGACTATTCTTATAGACTAGGATGGTCATTGACAAAGACGAGTCAGTTCCGACAAATTCTAGTCCCCGTACTCTAATTAGAATAGTAGTTAATCGAATTGCTATGATTGGTTCATCAAACTTAAACATTTCATGGAATAACTAGTCAAGTCTTGAAGATCTTCGTCGCTATGGACTGCTTTTAGTCATTCCAAAATTAGTACGAGTTGAAGGACTTAGACCGATATTCCATTCAGACTGCTTGGAGATGGTGAGCAGATGATGCGTAACTAAATTCCATTTGAACTGTCCTTCGAAGCGTTACGCTCTAATCTCTTGAACTGGGAGTCAGCATGTAGCCCGCCTTACTTTATCTAATATTTTGGTTTAATTACTGGTATATATCAATGCTGTTCCTACAGTTATTTGAATATAGTGCCAAGAAAGCTTGGGCTAGATATCATTTCCATGGTTGACGTCCTGTTAGCGTAATCTAAGTCACTTAAAGTGGGCTTCCTGAAATGATGAACAACACTTTAGTTTGTCAATTTTGATGAATTCTCCAGATGCAACACTTGAGAATCAATTAGTCCTAACTTCTTTATATATAATTAATCAGTACAACAATATCAGTCAGAAATTACTAAAATTAAGCATTGTCTTTTAATTACCTGATGTGTTAAATCACATGAAATATGTATACAAACATGAATCAATCATCTGCAACTGCACATTGTGATTTTACATTTTTTAGCACACACAAATGATTGGTTTTATCGAAAAAAAATGTTTAACATATAGACAGCTTAAACACAGACTACAGAAAAATTTTAATACAACTTAAACTGTGATAGGATACATGAAAATCTTAACAAAATTAGTAATTAATTAATATAAATACCGATCACGTTTAGTTAAGCAAAAAAAATGCAAAAAGAACGATAATGTGTCGAGAAAATCAAAAAAAAAAACAATTTCCGGCAAAAACCAATCGGAAAAGTAAATTATTTGCACTTACCAGAATCAACACCACGTAAATTTCGTACAAATTCTTCTTTTGTCATTTTTGATTGTGGTCGAACATTTGGACTATACATATCAGTGTGTAACATTACGATGGCATATGCTAATATCATAATTGTATCGGAATTTCTAAATTGTGATTTCACATATGATGCATTTTGTTCTACATAGACTGATTGAAATTCATTTAACAGATGAACAATTTTCTGTGATTCACCCTGAAAATAATATGAACATCATAAGTAAAAATATGCCCAGAAATGGAAATAAAATTATAAATGATTATTTAATTTTGCTACTCATAAGTAGATAGTTGATTTTGTGAAAAAAAATTACATGTCATGAATACATTTTAGTGTAAAACGGACAGATAATGAATGACTATTTTTCAAAAGGGTCGGATATATTTATATAACGCATAAATTACTAATTGTGTTGTTCCGTCATATTAACTAAGTTAAGACACGGATTACCATCACAATCAATTACCTAATAAAAACTGAATGATTCATAAGCATTGTGATAAAAAGGATTTCTACGCAGTATACCTGTCGTTAAATATACAATATAATATATTGCAATTGAATTACAAATGTTCAACTTAGAAGAAAGAAAGAACGGCAGCTAATAAATTTGGAGATAATAAATACTATACTATACTATACTACTTACCGGTGTACGAAAACATCCCAACAATAAACGTAATGCTTCGTCAACTTCCTTATTTTGAAATTTTAATTCCCGAATAAATTGTCTGAAAAACAATATTTCAAATGGAAAATATATGATAAAAGGTAATAAAGAAAATTTTGCAAAAAGTATCATGTTCATTAAAAACATTCGATTTTAATCAGATTTACGAGACAATTTATGTAAATGTTTGAACAAATTCCACTTCAGAAATTGGGCTGTGAAACATGGCCAGTGGGAGTAGATATTCGTAGGTTACTAGTATTAGATCATAGGTGTCTTCGAAGCATTGCTCGTATACCGTGGGACAACCGAGTGAGCAACTCTCTTATTAGGAAAAGTGTGCTAGGTAAGAATGGCAGATCAATAGATGAAGTAATGAAACTTCATCAGTTGAGGTGGTTGGGACATGTACTGCGTATGCCTAACCACCGACTGCCTCGACGAGCTTTGTTTTGTAGTGTAGGAATACGTTGGAAGAAAGTTAGGGGCGGCCAGACCAAAACATGGCAGAAATCCATGAAGTCATTCACGAGTGGACTTAGACATGTCGATAATTGTCGACTACCTGGTTGGGGTCCGCGAGATGATAATAATCGATGGCTCAAAATCGTTCGCAATTTCGCCGGTGCATTTATTCTTTGTGTTCTCTCAAATCCTAACCTTCTGTGTTCTTCAACACCTCTAGTTTTGACTTTCTAAACTTTTCTCACTGAATCATACTTCTTGAATAATAATATCTTCTAATCCTAACCTCTCCGATTACTTCTAATACCTTTACTATCTCCACTACTATTGGATTTGAATTGACAATTATATCTCTGTGCTGATGTGGTATGGCAACATGAACTGACGTATGAAGTTCTACGTTGCATCTGACTGACTGACAATAATGTAGTAACGTATGAAAAGTAAAGAGCACAATAATATGTTATCAGAAAACAATGAATATTTATTTGAAAAACAATTATGAACCATCATTTAGACAAAATAAATATACAATAGGTCCTAGAATTGAGTTATAATATAAATGCTACTGTTCACAGAAATCAATATATATATATATATATATATTCCCTTAAGAAATGCCGTACAAGATAATGGCGATGCAGTATCAACAGATGTGATAATTTGAACAGATAAACATCTGTTATTTTTATAACTGAATGATGAAGGACATCTACTGATCTTTTATATGTGTTTACTCTAAGATTATGCAGTATACATATAGACAAATGTAGTTAGTAATGTAAGTTTATAAATAACACTGTAGTCTTGTGAACCTATAAAAAAAATGCTTCGATAGAAAATGCCGACTCTTGGATGTTTTCTGACCAATATAAAATAAAAAAATTAAACTGCCATAACGAAGTGTATAACAGACAGTTACTAACTAATAAACGTCATGATTCAGTCAGTCAGTTATAACGTATGACTGCGTACGTAAGTTTAAGTTGCCATATCACATTAGAACAGAGATGCAACTGTCAGTGTAAATCACAAAACAGAAGAGATAGTATAACTTTTAGCGGTAATTGGAGAGATTTGGGTTCGAAGATATTATTCAAGAAGTTTAATTCAATGAGACAAATTTAGAAACAAAAAGTTAAAGGCAATGAGCAATATAAAAGATGAACATTTCAGAGAACACAAAGAGTGGATGCCCCCACGCCATTGCAAACGATTTTGAGCTATGCTGTTCAAGGTCTCTAACCTTCGTCAACGTCAAGATTATTTTAAAAAATAGCCATACACAAGAAAATGAACAATATAGTGAGAAATTTTTAAGAAATTAAGGTTTAATAACAGAAGAAAAGTTAAGTTGGATGTTAAGAATAACAGGAATTTATCTAACTGCCCAACCTCCTTTGTCAATTCTAAGCACAAAGATCATAATAGTACAACACAATTAACGCTGAAACAAATTATCAGAATAAAGGATTCCTCAGAAATGAGTCCCCTAGGTTTGCAATGATGTTGCTTAGCTAATATTATAACCACTATTATGATAATTATTAGTGTTGTTGACATCACAATCAACGGTCACAACAGTCTGGAAAAGTGTATTAGATATCAAACTTGGATTAATTCAGAAACTGGTCTTAAGGAATTTATTGTGAAATTGCTGTTGATAAAGCAAAAAAACCTATGGATTATTTTTCTCTATAGTTTGAACAAAATATCCTGACCACTTTTATTAAAAATAAAGCATTATGAATGTATGAATCATCGTCAATACTGAATAAATTTCAAACAACCTTCTAATGTGTTGTTGTATCCATGACCTTAAGCAAGCAAAAATATATACAAAGTTCAAATGGTTTTTCTTCACATATCAATCACCGTTTATGTTAAGTAATTACAATGTTACAATATCACGCATAGATTGTTTTGCAATGAATGATGTTAAGTACAAAATTCCAGCATTTATAAAGTAACCTAACCGAAGTTGTAATTGTTCAGTAGTATACTATAAATAATTGTAAAGCATTCTACTATTCAATAATTGTATGATTGAATTCAAACACTGAACAAAACAGTCATACGAAAAACAAACTAATACTCAGATTATATAACGAAAATTCATAGAGATACATTTATATTTTCCAATATAGACGCCATGGACACCATCGTGATTCATTGAAATTATGAATCGATCTCACTTTAGACCATCAGTAGTAAAAGCCTGGAAACACTAGTCAGTTGTTTCGTATATAGCTCTCATGCAGCAGTGTAAGTCAAAAAATGTGCTCACAAATGACTAGCTTCATAAAAGAAACTCTCACAGTTCTAGGGATAAGCTGTGTAAAAGTACGGTTCAATTCTGTTGGGTGTAGGTAGTAACTACAGAACACACCGGGTTAGGTTGTACAATATCAATGATTGATGAAGGTTAGACATCAACTGTATCAGTTTCCGGCTCTCTGGTCTAGAGTTTGAGTTCACAAGCTAGATCAAAGGTCCTAGGTTCGATTCATGCGAGCGGAGATTATGGATGAAGATTGAGGCTGATGAGTCCCATACTTAGTCGAAATGCCCGTCCACTGTTTCCAGGTGTTCTAACAATGATCGATTAATAAATTCACTGATATATTTATCTATTCTGATGTACTATACTTATTACTTATATCCCTGACCAAATGTATTTTTTCGGGATTAAATTGAAGAAAAACTAATCTAAGTATACTTTGGCAGAGATTATTTACTTGTGATGATAGATTAAACTGTCTATTGCCAAAATGATCTCTAAAAAACACAGTTACCGAGTTACAGACAGTGTATATTCATGATAAACAAATAAATCATATCTTTGTCTAAAAAATGCAATTGTTTGGTGTTTATGTTCTAAAAGTAAGGATATTGATCGGTCGCAAAATTTATAAAACATGATGGTAAAACCTAGAAATCATTTTCGAAATACTAATAACTAAAATTTTTTAAACAGATGACAACTACGTTAGTATATTGATGATTACTGTTTAAAAAAATCATGCCGTCCGTGAATAGTCAGTCAGTCAGTTGCAACATAGAACTTCGTACGTATGTACATAAGTTCATGTTGCCATACCACAGCACAGAGACACGAATGTCAAATCATATCCCATAGTGATAAACATAGTAGAGGTATTAATGGTAATGAAGAAGACTAGGGTTCGAAGATATTATTCAAGAAATATAATTCAGTGAGATAAGGTAAGAAAGACAAAGGTAGTGGTGCTGACAATTCCATAAGATTAGGATTTGAGAGAGCACAACGAATGGATGCACTTGCGCCATTGCAAACGATTTTGAGCCATGTCGTTCAAGGTCTCTAACCATTGATGACTTTCGTCTCGCTGACCCCAACCAGGTAGTCTACATCTTCCAACATGATTCAGTCCACTTATCAGTGACTTCATGGATTTCTGCCATGTTTTGGTCTGCCCGCCCCTAACGTTCTTCCAACCTACTCCGACACCACAAAACATAGTTCGTCGATGCAGTCGGTCGTTAGCCATACGTAACACATGTCCCAACCACCTCAACTGATGAAGTTTCAATACTTCACCTATTGATCTGCCATTCTTACCTAGAACCCGTTTCCTAATAACAACATTGCTCGCTCGGGTGTCCCAGGATATACGAGCAATGCTTCGAAGACACCTATGATCGAATACTAGTAACCTACGAACATCTACTCTTAACGGCCATGTTTCGCAGCCATATAAGAGAACGGAACGATCCGTGAATAGTTGGTTGTCACATATTAATGTGCTGAAAACAAAATTATTTTGAAAGATGTATATTCACAATACTTTCCCTGGTTTACTTGATTTTCCGGAAAAAATTGCAATTTAGTGATATTCGTATCAGGGAATTTTATAACAAACTAACAACGTAGGTGTTTGATGGGAAACAAAAATTGGAAATCAGCCTGAACTGATACAGCTCTTTTGTAAGTCACGAAAGAATGGTAAAATATGTATGTCATAGGATGAAAAGCATTTTCTGCAACCACTTGGTAAATTGTACTCACCTTGTTGTCAATTGAGCTACTTCATTCTTTGTATCACCAAGATATTCACCAATGGCAACTCGACTTAAACCTTTACGAGTTAACAGAAAACGAGCAATCAGTTCTGGGGAATTTTCTAAAAATCCATTCTTCACAAGAAAATCAATGCCTTTCACCGGTGACCTAAAAAATGTAATCAACGGAATGTCATAAAATATTCCAATATGGCAAAGGTTTTTAACAAGTGGTTAGTGTCTTCAAACAACATGTCTCAGAATAGATTTCCATACGACAGGTCTATACATTTTGTTTCTAATTAGGCTCTAATATTTCTATGGAATTGCCGACTCCACATATTCAAATGTAACACCAGATACCACATCACAGTACATAAATTACGAGTCACCTAGTACGAATGTTCACTAGTTTGTGGGAATATTCCATTATTTGATAAGAGTCATAATTCATAACTAATTTCCCAAAATTCCATTAGCACACCGGATAGAAGAAAATTAATAGTGTTGCCTATTTTTTTATAGTTATAGTTATACAGTTATAGTATTATCAATCGCATTGTGATCCCAACATACATGAAGGATCATTTGAAGTGTTCATGAACTTTATCTTGCAATATGTATATCTGCATAAGATGCCAAATAGTTTCGCCGTACGAACGTAATACATACATGTCTAAATGAAAGAATTGACAGATGTCTACACTTCAAGGATTGAAAAAAATAATGTGCAAGCACAGTATTCGAATGGAAACAAATAAAAATACCAAATTAAAAAAAAAATGATACTTACTTGTTGAATATATTTAAACCAATACGATAAGCTCGTTTTCGACGTTTCTCCTGAACATTAGGTAATCGATTTATACAAGGATTTCTATGCGAAAATGAAGTTATAATAGCTGGATGAATAATAGTTTGACTAGTCGGATTATGTGAAAGATATGAACGATGCACATGTAACTGACATGAATTAGGTATATGATAACATGGAACTCTGCAAGATGCATGTACGTGATGCGGTTTTTGAAACGCATCATTGTTATTAATCTTGAGAGACTCTAACTGGTTTATAGGAACATTTGGTACTACTAACTGCGCTGAATGCAACTGTAGTAATTCATTGTTCAAAGGAACACAGGATGATAAAACAGCTGGTGTTTTACAAACTTTTTCCATAGGATAAGTAATTACTGAACATTCATTATTGTTACAAGGTTGAGGTGGCATGACATCTCTAGATGCAGGTATACAAACCAATGCAGGAGGAGTATTTACTGTGGGTGTGGCCCTTATATGTGGGACATTTATACAATAAGGACAACAGTTGTTACGAATACTTGAACGGTTTAAAACAGATGGTGGTGGTGGTGCACAGCAATTCTTTAAATATACTCCTCTATGTAAAGATGAACGTGTCGAATTCGGAGATATATCACCATATTTCGGAAAACATTCAGCAACAAACTGTTGAGTTGGTATAGTTTGCCGAGTGCAAGAACAATTTTCGCAGCCAGGATTGACATGCATTTTCGAACAAGGAAGAAAAGAAGTAGGGAGTGAACTGACCCACTTTGGTTGTGGACTGTTAGTTACTGTTGACTCCTTAATAGAAGAACTGTAGAAATGTTCACTGGGTAAGTGAATTAGTTCATTATTGTAATTCACAGTTGAGTTTGGAAGTGAAAAATGCATCGTATTTGTATTATACATATTTAAGTTCTGTTTATTTAAATTAGACTTTGCACTGCCAGGCGATAAATAATTGAGGACCATAGGAGAATCAGAAACCATCTGTAAACGATCAGTATGCGATTTCGGGCAACACTGTGAAGTATAATGATGAGTTTTATGACATAAACCGTCATCCAGAAGGGTACCATTAGAAAATGGATTTTGTAATTCAGTCTGATTAACATTCGCTTCACGTGACCAATCCATGTATGCTTTCTCGATAACCAAGTCATCGACATCGTTTGAAGGTTGGGAAATCACACAGTCGCCTTTACTTGAAATGTGATTCACATTAGGTCGATTTGGAACGGTTTTGCTTGAGTTCTGTTCTCCGATTCGACTGATATCTTTTTCTGCTCTTAGTCGAGCGTATTCCGCTCTCAAACGATAATCTCTATAGGCATTTTGTATAATTTTCGCTGCACGCTGAGTTCTCAATCTTCCTCCATAGTACCTTTCAATTTCTTCTATGGTCTTGGCAGATCCGTCCTCTAATGAATCATTGCAAATATCAGGCATCTCAGTTTGAAAATGCAACATACGATTGAAAGGATCATCCGGGCAAGAGGAGTCACGACTTTGATCAGATAAATCATAAGAATCCGCAACAGCACCGGGATTAGAAATAATCAAGTTGTGCGAATCTGAATTAGGATTATATTTCTTTCGTTCAGAAGATGCACATAAATGTTCATGTTGATATGCTCGGCATTTCATACATTTGTTACATTCTGTAATTGTTTCATGATCCTCTAATGGAGTGATCCCCAAAGAACAAAGGCAATCTGAGTCTGAACATGAATTGAAGGCATCGAAAGAGTTGATTGGTTCAATGGTATTATGACACAATCTATTTGTGACTGACACATCTTGATGTAAATGCTCTGTGCTCAGAGAAGTTGGTCGCATGGAATTTGATTTGATTCCACAATCTTTAGGTCTAAAAAGTTTTAAAAAAGTGAAGCGTTCGGTTAACAGAAATAGAAAATTTATTTATGCGTCGCCATACTAGATTGGAATCAAATTATTCCCGAAAAACATTTCTGCCTAAAGATACTGAAGCTGCCATATTTTTATCCCTAAATGTAAACTTACGATGTAATTCTCCAATGGAGATTGGGTAACACAATAATAGCCATAGAAATGTTTCGCTGTTCACAAACCTAAGTACACAGGTGGATGAAATTCAGGAATTCGTTTGAAAAAACTGCCGATACCTTTCATAAGATAATAAATATTGTGCAACAAACTAACTAGTAAAAAGCTAAATTAAGTCAAACTATGCGTCCTAATAATCGCATGCATTATTAGTAAGAACGTCAAGTTCCCCATTGAGATTGGAATAATTTCAAAGCAAGTGCGTACCAAGAACCGCATGATAATATTAACCACTTTGTTATGTGATAGCCGGAGATAGTTATAGTTGTATCTTATTTTTGAAAATGGAGTAAACCATCAGTATATATGCAAATATTAGACCAGAATAATAACCTCACAAATCTAGTTACTAAACCGATATTTTAGCTTCTTCGTACTATCAAAATATTAAGGGTATGTGATAGGTGCTTAGATAAAAGTTTTTTCCAGTACTTTCTACATTTTACAATCAAAATTTATTAAAAGATGTTGCACTGGTTAGTCGAATACTTTATTAAACAAAAGGTCTTGAAAATACATAAAATAAAATAACGACATAAGAAATCCCTGACTATTCAAAATAAATTAGTAAAAAATTTATATTCTTCTGTAAATCCATACCCAGAAATTAATGCTTCTTGATAATCTCTTGAATAATGCCAACTTGAGAATTTCTTCGGATAATCAATATGATGATTGAGATTACAAGAATAATCCGTAGTATATTGATTTAATGGACTTGTGATATTATTAGCATAAAAATCCGAAATACAATCACAACGTAACATCTCAGACGTCATTTTTCATAATGAGTTGATCAGATTTCGCTCTGCAATATAAATGGTCACACTCGGACAGGTTACAATTTTCTCTCTTCCTATTGGTCAATGCTAAAGAAACTCTATTGGCATTTGATTCGACAAAATAGGCATTGATTTTATAAACATTTATTGATTAATGACCGTCTAGGTAGCCGGTAGTATTCAGACAATGTCTATCCCTTTTTTTCCATTGCCTATGGAGGCCACGTGAAGAATGACTCATAGGGATGGGGGTTAGAGCAGTAAGCTAAGGTATCTTCTAATCTGCCCTAGTTTGATAATATTGGCTTAATATAATCTTCCAATGATAACTGAATAATTTAATCAACCAATAAGATTTGCTATATGTTATTTATTGTCATCATTGATGCTAAAAATTAGGTCATGGAGAAATAGGTTCGAACACAGTGATGTAATGTGTCAAGTTTTTCTATTTATCAGATCTTTGATAGAAACTATCTTGAGACTCAGTATTTAGTTGAAAATTTCATTGACGAAAGAGATTTTTTTCGCCTAACGAGTATTTATTGTGTGACATTGTGGTTGTAAATTTAATAGAATGTATACTAATTTTATACAATTGTTATTGACGTTTTCCCTAATGAACGAAAGAATCTCCAAGTTAACACAATTATAAAACTATATATTTTGGGACAATAACTGTACAGTGGTTCGGGAGGACAAATTTGCTCTTAGATTATTGATTCATGACACTAAAAACAATACATTTATGTCTTTTAATCCCACTAAACTGATAAACTTAGTTGTAGAAGAGATATCTCAAAAAGTCTCATTATCTCATTCAAAACTATCCTGTAAATTTCTTATTTATCAATATTTCGATTATCGGTCCTATTTACAATGGATGATACAGCATCTGGTACAATTGAATCTCAGTTGGAATACGACTGAGGACAAAAGAGCACTTGTATGATACATGTTCAGGGATCAAGCCTATGATCGTAAATTATCCTCCAGATCCTCTAACTATAATGACTCCTGGTTTGAGGTCCAGCAGGAAACATTTCCCATTTCGGAATAATTCGCGATATCAAATTCCTATCAGTTGTGACTGCTTCACTCGATATTTGTTAGAGTGGGTTCAAAGTTCACACCAAATTTACAGATTAGGTAAAGTATTTTGTATAGATTATTTCAATCTGTAGATAGTTTTCGTCCCAGACTAATCTTAGCTGAATCACTAACAAATACCAGTGAACACATAAAACACTCCTTCCTGTTGTGGACACCTATAATTTTCAATAATCAAAAACACCATGAACTCTAGTTCTATGAGAAAACGCCTAAATTTCACATTACTAAATGTTTTTTTTTATACGGTATGTGGCGGGAAAAAAACTATAAATTTCCCACTTCATATATTTTTAACTAGGGATGTGGTGTGAGCTACTTATAAGAAGTATATGACGTGAGTGTCAACGTAATGTCTTTCAGCATAATATGGGGGAAGATCAAGAAAGGAAGAGTTAGAAAACAATGGAATTTGTATGAAACGCATGAATAGTGACAATCGATTGATGTTTGGCAACAGGAACAATCCAGTTCGATATGAAGGACTGATATTTTGCTAATGAACCATTTACGATATGGTTTTCCGATTTTACTGAGTAACTCTGTAATTTTCGTTGAATACGATTCGGTTGCCCCACCTGTGTTCCCGTTCACTGCAGGGATACTACCGCTAACTCAGGTCTCATATGGTCGATAAATGAAAATTTCGGAAACGCGAAAAAATCATTGCCTGACATGAGACAAAGGGTAGTAGAAGTGTTTGGGCCTATTTGCATTAAGCTGGGCTGCCTCTTCTACTATCCTGTGCCATATATGTGTACACCATATGCTATACTGCTATATAGAGCTGAAGGTCTTCTATGAGACTAAAGGTTCGCAGTGTATATTGTGGATGGCTTTGCTTTGCCTTGGTAAGCATTGTTAACAGTCCATATACAAAATTGGTTAGCAGGGTGACCGATTTCATTGATATAGGTGGTTGTTTTACGACATTTCCGAGGGCCATTGTCATCGGGGTGCTGCATTACATATCACCACCATTGCTAATAATAATGAGTTTGACAGTCATGTAAGCTGGATGGATCGAAATGGCTTGTTGATGCGGTGCATGTTGATTGACGCGATCATTGATCGGAAATATATATATCATTGTGTGTATATGAAACGGTGTGAATGGTCCATCAGGGTATCAGGTACCTGTGTATTGGTTGCAACACAGGATTGATCCGAACTGTTCATGTAGTAATGGTAAAAACGTGTCCAGTCTCTATGGTTCTCCTGTAAAATTGCCCTAGACATTAAAGGGTAAATTTATATAATAATATATTTTTAACTATCCTACTTACTTAAACTCAACTGTTGATTTCTGTTTGTGGTTTGTCTTTTTCACTAGCATACTCCTTACTCATACATTCTCATGTACCATACATACATGTAAAATTTATCGGTTAGGTTGATTGATTGTTAACGAAAATAGCTAAGTATTATTAAGAGAAGTGAGTGGACCTACTTAAACATGACCCAAATTATTATTTACTTACTTACTTACTTACTTACTGTTATTTTTTCTTTTATCCACTTGAACTTTTCTATTATTTGTCAATCATTTAATTTTTTGAGGAAGCATGAAAATACAATACAAATATAAAAATTTGTAATAGCGCATTAAAGAGAAATGTTGCCTTTCAATGAATGTAGATATTAATTAAAAAGGCAAATCAATAACAATGATTCATAAATATTCTCTTGATGAGATTAACTGAACAGAAACAACTAATTCATCTGAGATGAATTAGGGGGCTAACAGGTTCAATATGATTTGTTCATTTTAACATGGTGTAGTTGCTGATGATGTCTGGTCAACGAATACGCAGTATTTTGTGTTGACAATTGTTCATCAACACATTTTCACAGTTACTCCCTTTTCCGCTTTCAGTTCTACAGGTAGTATGTTGTTCGGTGTAGATTCTTCTCTAAACTAGATTTTTGAAATAGCCAAGCTGATCGATTCAATTGTTCTTGGGTTAGTATCAATGGGAGTGGTCGTGTATAATTCTTCGATATTGGATTTCCAGTGGTGTGGGTCGATTGAAGAATCATTCGAAGTGCTCTACCTAACTGTTTCGCTGCTTTTCAATGCCGTCAATTCCATTGTGTTGCAAAATACTCATTGATAGATCCATGCAACATTCGATATACAAAGATAATAAGGACCAGTAGAAAATGTAACAGCTCATTAAAGACCAATGTTGCATTTCAATGAATGTAGATATTAATTAATAAGGAAATCAATAACATTGATTCATAAATATTCTCTTGATGAGATTAACTGAACAGAATGAATTGAACATTATCATCTGCGATGAATTAGAGGGCTAGCAGTGAAATCTAGAATGCCTTTTTTTGTCCTAGTGAGAGCATTGTATGCGTTATGGAGATTGTTTTCTTACATATGTGAGGAATTTGTCGGAGTTCTATTGAGAAGTCGGCTACTATTAGAGTTCAACCCTATCGGTTGTAGTTATTACCAACCGAATACATTGAGTGAGGTTGCTCAAAACCTTAGATTGATCATAGTTAGAGATTAACACCGTTGGATACTGGCTCAATGGTGTAGAGGTTAAAATTTCTTGCGCGAGACTGAAGGACTTGGGTTCGATTAGTGTGAGCGATGGTTGTGGGCTTTAAATTGCAGGAGAATCCCCTACCAGGACGAATCGGTCATCCGGTGCTTCCAGGTTTCTAATTATGGGATACCAATTATTTATTCATGATTCCTATGTAAAACAACAATCTTCACAACTCGGTAACGAGAAAACTACGAAAAACTACTACGACTACTACGACTACTACTACTACTACTACTACTACTGTAGTAAACGAGAACACAGGTGGGACAACCGGATTGAAATTAACGAAAATTACAGAGTTATTCAGTAAAATCGGAAAACCATATCGTAAATTGTTAATTTGCAAAATATCAGTTCATCATATCGAACTGGATTGTTCCTGTTGCAAAACATCAATCCATTGTCACTATTCATGCGTTTCATACAAATTCCATTGTGTTCTAACTAACTCTTCCTTTCTTGATCTTTCCCCATCTTCTGCTGCCAGACATTACGTTTACACTCAGGTCATATACTACTTATAAATAGCTCGCACCACACTACTACTACTACTACTACTACTACTACTACTACTTCTACTACATTATTCTAACTGAAGTCCCAACTAACCTGCTAATTAAAAGTTCAAGCGTTTGACAAAAAGGAAACTTTTCAACAAATATATATTTTCATGATTAAACCGTTTTAGAAGGAAAAAGTGTAATTTATAAATTAAAGAGTTTAATGATAATTGAACAACATTGTTGCGTAATAAAAAAAGGAGGATTTAAAAATAGAAAATTGATTTCAATTCATTGAACACTAATCATGACTGGTATTATGATAAGCGACAAAAATTTCATTCTAAACATTGTTCACTTTTTTGTTACTAAGGCATTCGGATGTTAACCATTGACTGTTAATTGAATACAAAGGTCAAGTTTTAATCTCCTAACTAGTGTGATCAAATCATCCATGTCTATTGTAGTGAATCATGACAGGCATGTATTTCTCATTCATTTAATTACTAAATTATACAGACATTCAAACAATTTCTGTTATATATTTCGGTGCAGAGTTTTGGAGGTTTGTGTTTTTACACATTTGAAATCATCAATCAATCAATCATTGTTAGACCACCATTGGAAACCTGGAAGCACTGGATGGCCGTCAATTGCTGGTATGGGACTCATCAGCAGTGCGCATCCACGACTCCGGTACCTCGCATGATTCGAACCCTGGACCTTAGGTATTGTGCGGGAACGCCCCAAAATATCGTAACAGTGCTCACTAGTGACGACTAGCTTCGTGAGGAAATTCTCGGAGTTTTAG